GGTGATGTTAAATGAACTGAATCAAGTGAAACTAAGAAGGGGTGGGGGAGAGAGGTGTACCGGGCCCACCAGTTGCAGGGTCACCGAAATTCTTGTAGTGACCAAATTTCATGAACGCTCTTTCGAGAGAATCAATGTGAATGTCTGCGCAAACCGAAGGGAACTGAAGAGCGTACAAGAGGCCAGGGAAGCCGAAGATGAAAGAGCGCTTGCATATTCTGATGATCGGCGCGTCCTTCGCCAATGGCCACTGGAAACCGTTAACGGAGCAGTACGTCGTCAGAATCGGCGGCGCCGTCGTCTGCACGACAAGTTTCACATGAAATACCCCAAGCCCGAGCAACCTCACCGTCTTCGCCTCGTCATGATCAAGCAGCATCACGGCGGCCGTCGGGAAATGGAAAAGCTCCGTTATGGTGCCGTCCGGAAACCTTTGAAGGTTGCCTGAAGAACTCGCCATGCCTGCACGTAAGTGATGCCTGCGGCTTAGATATTAATTACCACAACAAACAGAAAGTTTTACAAACAGCAAAACAATGGACGATCTGCAAATCTGTGAATCAGTCTAGAGAGAGAGAGAGAGACCTGAAAGCTTAGTGGAAAGGGTTGAGAGATGGTGAGGGGATCGATGAGGAAGGAGTGAGAGAGAAGCGTTATATATAAGAGAGAGAGGGGGGGAAGGGCTAAGGGAGGTGCATGATGAATCTGCTGTTTCATTTTGTATTTTATCACTTACCAAATTACAGGCTACAACCAGTAACTCACTTTGCTTACTAATTTTTTTTTTTTTTTTGCCTTTGTTTTCAGAATATACAGATAAGCTACTACTGTACACATTAGCGTTTTAGGTGGGCAAAAGGAAATTAATTAACGTTCATTTGAGGAGGATTCTTATTTCAAATTAACTTATACAATGTATTCTCTCTGATCCTATTTGGCTATTTATAATGCAAAGAGAGACTTTTTTTTAATCTTATTGATAAGTCATGCTATCAAATTTTTATTTTAAATTTTTTTACCTTCCATTAAATGTCGGTGAGAAAAATATATTATTAAAATTAACATAACTAAGTTAGGTCTAACAAAAAAAATTAGTCTCTTATAATATGACAAAACAAAGTTTAAATCTCTTATTGAGAAAAGTACTCACTTTTAATACGTGATCTTGTTTTGAATAGGATCGTCTCTAATAGAAGGATGCCAATGAGCAATAAAAAAAATATGTATAATTAATATAGGAGTTTTAAAGTTTTTCTGTGTTCCTGTTGATGAAACATGTAGAAGGGAGTATATATTTATCATCCCTTTTAAAACTTTAGAGATCGTTTGTAAAAATATTTTATTTTTGAAAACTAAACAATATACTTTCAAAATAATAATCTTTAGATTTTAGAATTAAAAACTAAAAAAAAAAATCATGCATGCGCAGCACGCAGTGCACTGCAGATAACCTGTTGGTTTTGAACTGAAAATAATTTTCTAAAGACATACAACAGAAAAGTTTTTAGCTCCCTGATTTTTGGGCATGGGAACCACGTAGTGAAATCAACAAAAAAATTCCTGGCCGTTCAGTAACGATGGTTTGTTTGTTTCTTTTGAATGTCATCATGAATACAGCTTATTGGCCGAATTAATTAAACTGTCAATGAATTTTCACTTGGAAATTAAATTAGAACCATTTGGTCATCTCCGTTGCGTGTTTTCATAGCTATGTTGTTGCTTGGGAACTGAGATTTACTTTCAGAGGCTAGCTAGCCATGATCCATTGTCTGTTACGTTGCAACCTATTATAAGAATTTCTTTTTTATTTTTCGAATCGTAACAGCCCGATCATAAGAATTGAACTGAAAGTGATGAGTAAAACTTTAGGTTCCCTTTAATAGAATGAAATTAATTAAAAAAAAAGATGATAATTTAAATGTGAAGAAGGATAGGTGAATCATATTCATAAAAGAGAATAATAATTTAGTTTATGGGGTTGAGAATTATGATTTTATAAAGCTTTTAGAGAGTATGACAATTCTCATATTTATGATATATAATATTGAGTTTTATTTTGTCTATTACGAGGAAAAAAGATGATTTAATTTATTTTTATTTTGATTTTTTTTCAAATTCATTCCATTATCATTATTTTAGTAACTAAATGGAACTTTAATTATCAACCAATTATAGTGGACGTAAATGATAAGAGATCTCGTCACTTGAACAAGTGATTTGAGGTTTGAATCTTAGTCCTTATGCATGTATCAACTTAGTTAATAGATATTTATCATTTAGCTGCCAGATCTGATGGGAGATAATCTCTACAGTTGATAGAATATACTCCTTCTAATATAAAAAAAAACTTAATTATCAATTTGGAATTAAAGAGAGGAAAAAGAAATTCGTTGAAAGGATTTTTTTACGTGTTAACATATATACCGTGTCCTTGCTTCTTGTATCTCTCATTTTCTCACGGAGGAGAATTTAATTACTTGGAATGAAGTTCAACTAGTACCTTAGTTCTTTCTATCTATTCGTGTTTTGTTCCCACTGATCTTGGAACTTCTTTAATATTGAACAAATTACAAATATACATACATACATACATATTATATTGAGTCAATTACATGCATGGACATGTTTATGTTTAGGTGGGACAATCATGTGCCATTTAAACAGATGTTTTAATGAATAGTAATCTTGAAAGATTTAGCCTTAAATTGATATTGTTTTAATAAATAGTAAATGAATGATGACATATGAATTTAATTTAATTTTGTAAACTGCATCAATTAATTGCTTTTTTAATAAGACATTTAGTAGCCCACTAGTATTTAATCGATATCCTGAGATGGCTAATATTATATACAGGTGATTTGTATGTACATGAAATAAAATTTTCAACAGTAAATTGCTGGCTTAAAACACAAATCGCTAGTTATAGTAACCAAATTAGACAAGAATAGCAGAGCAAATACGTGATAGTATTTCTCTTGATTCGGCCCAATTATATGCCCACAACTCCATTCAATCCTCTTGAAATTTCAAAATATTTTTAGATTAATTATATTAGTTCTATTTTTGACCTCAAACTATTTTTAAATGAGCACCCCATATCATAAACTCCTAAATATAGCAATGTCACCCTTAAAATATTTAAAATGTAGCAATATAATTTATGTAACATCTTGAAAGTGAAATTCCACATTATCTTTAGTGTGAATTTGATTTTCAATTTACTAAAAATATATTTGGCAAGAGTTCATTTGACAAAAATCATTTTAATAAAAGTTAATTGTTGTAATAAAATTTATTTTTAATATACTTTTTTAAAAATTAGTTTGTTACACTGAAAATTGTTTGGATTATGATAGTAGAATATGCTTTTGAATGTATAATTATAAAAAAAAAATTAATTCATAATGATTTGTAATTTTTATTATACAAATATAAATATATTTAAAATATTTAAAAATTATGATAAAAATTTTAAATAACATAAAATTTGATCTATAATTCTAAAAACTTGATCTCTAGTTATTTGTACTTTTTAATTTATAATTTCAAAAAATGTGATAAATATTGGTAATTTTTATTATACAATAATGCTAAAAATTAACATGAATTTATAATGCTAAAAGCTTGATACCTAATTATTATTATTGAAATGATAATTATATTTTTAATAAATTATTTATTTTTTTAAAAAAAATAAGAAATTAAATTTAAGGTAATATAGTCAAATAATATTATACTTTTCAACAGCTTCAAATAGTTATATTTTTTAAATTTACTTTTAGCCACTATTTAGATTTGCTTTTCCTACAAAATGTTTTAACCAAACAACTTTTAATATTTTAGAAATGAAATTTTGCTTTCTGAATGTGAAACTAAGAGTATTCAAATGGATCCTAAGCTTTGGTGTCTAATTACTAGATTGTCCTTTAAATCTTCCTCTTCCATATTCAAAACACATACACACTCTCTCCATCATTGTTTCCATGAAAAATGATGTCCTTAGCTTTGTGCTTCTGGCTCCAGCGAATGATGTCCCCCGTGCTTCTGGTCTTTCAATCCCTCATCTTTCTTATGAAATTTGTTCTTTATATTTTTTTCATAGATCATGAGAATTTGTTAATTATTGTTTGATTTTTTTTGAACATTCAATAAGGATGGCTTCATTTTCGTGAGATTGTATGATGAATCGTGAGGAAGATGGTGTGTGAGATTCTGGATTTGATGGCCGAAGGGCTAAACATGTTTAGCAGGGGAGAGAGAGAGAAACTTTCGAATACCAAAAGAAGAAGATTCAGAGCGCAATTTAGTAAGGCAACAAAACTTATTTATCCCAAAGTTCCTTGGCAATTCAAATTAATTTTTTCATTTCATGAAAACTTTATGTAATTAAAATATTTTTATGGGACTTAGGGCCTCTTTGGATACACTTTTAAAGTCAATTATGAGTTTAAAGTCATGGTTTTAATTTAAAAATTGTTATCCAAAAACTTCAATTTTTCCAAGCCTGATCTGACTTTCAAAACTCTACTTAGGATAAGCTGAAATTTGTTCAATTTGAAAAATCAATTTTGAGCGTTATTGACTTGCTATTTTGAATAATATAATTACCCACTTAAAATTGATTATACAAAATTATCCAAACATTTTTAATTTTATCAAAATCAATCTTTGAAAATTTATTCAAATGTCATCATATTTTAATAATCAATTTTTTCTATAATTAATTTTTTTCATAATCCAAACATACATTTAATAGTGATTTTTCTAGAACTTTTCTCACCAACTTACACTATTCCCAAGGATTTTTTCACAAGCTCATTAAAAATAGTTGAATTAAAAGGTAAAAATATTCTAAAAGTTCTATGAAAGAAACATTGGGTATCTTCATTTTAGAAAGATATATGTCACCGCAAATTTTTTTTTTTTTTTGAAAAATGGCAATTTCACCCTATTGACAGTTTACTTGCCACGTTGGCTTCCACTTGATATCTTTTACAAAATAAAAAAACACATCCAGGTGAACAAGTGAACATCTTCTTCTGCCATTTCTCTTCTTTCGCTAGGTATCACAAGGGAGATTAAAAGCAAGGAACATGGCAAATTGGAAATGTTAGACCTTGGCGGTGTAGATTGACAGCAAAGAGGGAGCAAACTCGACATCTTCGAGCTGGTCTTTGAGAGATCAATGGCATTGAACTACACGACTCGGTGACATGATGAGCAAGTTTCGACGAAAGCAATACACATAAAGATGGGCTGGGCTTGACGGCAACTTCAAGCGATGAACGGACAAGCTTGCGTGGTGAGGAGAGAACTAAATCGTGGGGGGTTTGCTAGACTGCTCAATCTCTAATGGTGGGGGTCCATCGATTATTAAAAAGGGTCGGGATTCGATTGACTTAGGGATTGAACAGAAGGTAGTGAGAAGAGAGCAGATCGAGGAAGAAAGGGGACGGAGACGATGGTGGATTCTTCATCGAAGGTATTGTTGCACTCAAGCACTCTTCTTCTACTTGTGCACCTTGTGTCTGTGATTGCTCTTCTAAACCCGTCCTCTCTACACCCCAAGGTAGTTCTTTTAATTCTGCAAATTATTGTGTAGTAGCCTGTGATTTGATTTAGATTAAATCTTTTTTGCTCTTAGTTTATGGAAAATTTCCTCCAATAAAAGAGGATGATGATAGGTATTATTGGCTGGGATGGAGATCTGACTTACACCCTCTTTCTGTTTCGAGATTTTGGGATAGAAGAACACATCATCCATGATTTGGGTTTAATTTAATTTTCCCTCCTGGTATTCACTGTGATTCATTGTAATTTTGCTATGGCTTTTGTTTTCGGTAACATGAAAGAAAGCTACCATTTCACAGAGAGAGAGAGAGAGAGAGAGAGAGAATTAGTGGAGCAGGAGGAGGAGGAGGGAGGCCGAAACCACGTGCGGATATTCTTTAATTTAAATGCTAGGTGGCTACCACTTGGGCAAAGAGTCAAAAATAATGGTCAACAAACGATCACACTAATGACAAGATAAAAATCTTGTCCCTTTTTTAAAGTTTCACAAAAAAAAAAAAATGGCTCCAACTAAAAATATAAGAATATTCAGTGCTTTTTTCCAAAAGACATCTCGAGTATTTTGTTCCCTTAACCCAAGAGAGTTCTCAAGACATGATTTATTATGCCAACAAAATTTATACACTCGACCTTACTCTGGAATAGTGGCCCAAAAAAACTTACCCTGGAATAATTTAGTTATTTTCGCTTGATTTCGCTAGTGTTAGTTTTTTTTTTTTTCCATAGCTTATATTACCATCTGGTATTCTGTATTATTGCGTTAGATTTGAATATCATCAAGTTCAATTTAATTAACATTTCTAATATGTGTACTAAAAAAAAGTTAACATTTCCAATACAATTTTTTATCCATATATAGAATTCAAATCTCCATCTCTAGTTTCATGAGAATTGAGTCCCTTTTAATCAATGATCTAATCACTGTTTATAACCAGCTTTCTTTAATTTCATTCTTTTCCTCTCCTTTTTCCCCGAACTGTTGGTAACCAACTTTGGTTTTCCTTTTCAATGTTGGACACAAATAATACACGACTTTAGCTGAACAAGTTTAACAACTTTAGCTGCTGCTGCTTCTTTTTTCTGGTGCGGAGGCTATTAGCAATTTTTTGGGTAAAGACTATTATAGCTTTTGTTTTTTGTGACTATATGATCGGACCATATTTGAATATTATTAGGTTCAATTAAAAGTAACTTTTTTAAAGATATTTTTTATATTCACTTAAAACTTAAACTTAAACTCAAGATTTCGTGCTTAAATAATAATAGCTTATTTTACTGAAACCAACAAATGCCAGGGGCTATTAGCCATTATGTTGAGGGCCATGTAATGATATTTTCGTGGGGCTGAAGAAGTTGGGGAACATGCTTTGGGTTGGCACATATTTCTGATTGAAAGCATTGATTCATGATGCTAGGCCCATTCTCGTCTTGGTCCAGTTAGGCGTTGATAAGTTATAGCATTGGTATAGGGAGAATTGCATACCAAAGACACACATCAAATAATATTTTATTGACAACTAAAGTTTACTAAAATAATAATTTTTTTAAATTTGATGGTCATAATGGAATTGGATATTCATAATTAATCAAATTTAAATTATATATTATTTAAAATATATTATTTTTTGTATGATCTATTCAATTTCGATAATTCAACTACAATCTAATTATTGAACATTGGATAATAATCAATCTAATGTTCATAATGTTAGCCACAAGTGAAATTATAGTTATCTTTATTCAAAATATTAGTTATTATTTATTATACTCCTGCTTGCAAATGTGCTCTAGCACTTAAAACCAAATTTGTATCCATAAAAAATAATTCTTATGATTGAATCAGTGTAACTTCTATTAGAATATTTATTTATAGATTTACATTAATTAACAAGCCCAAACAGATTAGTTTTTATAATCTTATGTGGACAGTGATAGGTTGACTACACATGTGAGCCCAATAGGTAGAGACCCAACCTACAACTTTGTAGCTGTTCGTTATTCCTTATCTCTTAACTGACTGAGTCAAAGATAATGAAATATAATTAATTATTAATTAATTAATTATAGACATTATTGATATGGTCCATAAGTCAATTAGTCGATAACCACAAACACACAATAGTTTTCACTTTATTTATTATCTCTAAACTCTCTGCAAAACTACGAGGGTCCTATAGGTTGTACATTAGTATATACTCGAAGTAATTAAGGTCTCTCAAGTGATCATGAATTCTTCAGATTCATACACATTACTCTATTTAATTTTATTTAATACATGAATTGAGATATAAAGTTGACACGTAGCATTAGAGTTAAATTACAAATATTAAATTATATATCTCAGTTCTTTTTATGCGTATGATAATATATTGATAGAAATTCATGGTGATATGTTAATAATTCTCCTTATATCCTTATTATTTTAGAAGAGTATGAATATGAGATTTGAGTTTGAGAATTTTGGTTTATATCTTGTAATGTTTGTGAAGAAGCCATGGAGCATGATCCTTAGATATTTTGTGTATATGAATTTGTTTTTCCGTGAATTTCTATCATTCTTCTTCTTTTTTTTTCTCCTTGACCTCATTGTTATCGAAGTTTACTGGAAACATGTTCTGAATGAACTTTCACCTTCTTTGCTGCGAGTTGTTGCCGCTGTCAGACCTTTGCTGTCGCTAGTATTGACTGAGTTTGCCATTGTCAGTTGCCAGAAGTTGCCACCAGAGATGAGTAGATGTGTTGTCGTTAGAAGCTTTTTAGTTTGCAGCGCCACTCTCCTGGCCTCATAGGTCATGCTGCAATGTCTGGTTTGCATCGTTCGAAAAGGCTGCAAATTCGTTGGAGATGGCTATAGACAGAGAGAGCTCTAGGACCGTTGGAGATGGATGCTGGCGCGTCGTCGGCACCGTCCGTCCATCAATGTCCGGTGCCTTCTACTTCTGGTTTGTGCTTTTACAGTCCGATGGCTGGAGAAGAAGCAGGAATTGCGTCAGAGAAGTGGATCCTGGGGATCTATTTCTTTAAGACAGGCTAGTTTTTTTGTTTTGTTTGGGCTTGGCACATTAAAAAAAAACCGCCCAACGTGTGAAATTTTTACTCAAGTGAGATGCAATTGGGCTTTACCTCAGCCCAGTACAATATATAATTAAAAAAAATCAAGTTTTGTAAATCACATTTTGGCCGAGACCAAAATTACCTCCTGGGCCCATAATTATTTATATTTATGTCTTGACCCCAAATAATTTTTATCAATTACATATTAGTCCCTTAACTTTTAAAATTGCATTCTGACCCAATTCTCTTCTAGAATTACCAATTTACCCCTGAATACCTTTTAAAAAAATCCAAGTAAGTCCCAGATTTATTTTCTAATTACTAAAAAGACCCTAAGGACTTTTGAAATTATTTTGTTTTCTCCAAAGGTCATAAAGCTTATAATTTTGTGAATTATTGGTGATGCTTAAGATCTTGAAGCATTGATAATGAACATACCCCATAGGTGTGATATTATTAATGTGATTTTGATGGTTAGCTTTGAGAATAGGTAAATAGCATTTTTTTATGTATTAGATATTCATTATACCCCATAGGTATGAAAATATTTAATACATATTTTTTAGTACAGACTTTTGTGTGAGCTAAATCTGTGTGGTATGAGAGCCTTCTTAGTGCATGATAATAGTTGCATAACTGAAATTTGCTTGTTAGGAATTTTGTACTATAATTATGTTATGTACGCATAATGATTTCTCATATTCTATTTTACGATTTCAGTTTCTGTGTTTTGAGCAACTATTTTTTGTTAAGGCCCTTTATAGGACTTGATGCATGATAATAGTTACATAATTGAAATTCGCTTGCTAGAAATTATGTACTATAATTATGTTATGCATGCATAATTATCATTTCCCATATTATATTTTGTGATTTTAGTTTCTGTTTTGAGCAATTATTTTTTATAAAGGCTCTTTATAGGACTCATTATGATCATTTGTGAGAGTCCTTAAATATGTACCTTACCACTTTGAGAATTAGTTAGCTCTAAAATAACCCAAACCAAAGGATTTCTCTTGACAGTCTAATTCTTTTAACAAGACCTATCATAAATAGTTGTCTAAGTCCAATCAGATCTGTTTGATGGTAATTGAATTCACCGTTAAGGAAAGTAATTAGGGACAACATTTTTGGTGACATACATTATGTGATGCTTGATAGCATTCAATTATGGTGGGACATTTGGTGTTGAAGGGAAGTATGTCTTGAATTTGTATGGAGTTAACCTTGGAGTATTCCTTGGCTTATAGAATTATTACAACTTAATCATAAATTCTTGACATCTTCTTACCTCACGTAAGAAAGGGGAGAGATTGAAGGATCATACAATATTAATAGTAGCCTATAGTAACTTCCAATATGAGGGGTGAAGTGTTTCAAATTTGAAACATTTAAGTAGAGTTGCTAGATTATTATCCTTTTATTTGAAATTTCCATTTCCATCCACATGCTTAGGGCATTTATGAATAAACTATTGATATATTTTGAATGATATTGCAAGAGTCATTTATATTTAGTGATTGTATGCTCACCCATAGTGAGTCAAATTATGATAGTGTATTATTTGAAATTATATTTCAAGATATCATGTTGACAAAGAATTTTACCCTATACGTATGTCATTTTTGTGTTTTTAAAATTTTGGAATTATCTCTAAATATTATATTGGTAAAGGACGCTTATAGGTAAAATAAGGATTACTATTGTTAGTAGTTGGGCCTTTATTTTGACAGGTTTACAAATAAGGATTTTAATATTTTGATGTTTTTTATACTCTATAAGTATGGTGACATTAAAGACATTTTATTATAATCCTTTTGATAAAGTCCTTAATTCATATTTGAATTGGATGCCTAATAATTTAGTGTCCAAAATAATATAAGGTAAATTATTTGTATTAAGTTGGAAATCATTAGTGAGATTTTAAGTTGAAGAAGCTTAATCTCAAAATCTATTAAGGGATTCCTTACTTACTATTGCATAAGATCAAGAAATGTGCCAATTTTGTTACTCACTATCAAGTTAACCAAATTTAAATTTTACTTTTAAATAAATAGTGAGAGTTTAAGCCTAAATTACTGGCCTACTTGTTAAGAGCACCACCTTTACCTAAGCATGTTTATTAATCAACTTCATTTGATGAGGATGAGGTTGTCAAGAATCCACTTAGCTTGTTAAAATAAAACAATCTATGATATATACTAAGCAATTGATTTTATTCAAGTGTTCTCACAGAGTTGGTATACTTGTAATACTTAGTTGAAAGTAATCATTTATAATTATCTCAAATAAATAGAGACTTGAGGGAAGGAATTAAAATACCTTAATAAACTAATTTTGTAGAATTTAGTTGGGAACATTTAATGTGCAATTATCTAAAACCATCTTTGAAAATAAGCAAGTCTTTAGGTTGTAACATCTGAAGTTTGATGAGAATATTAGCTCCTTTTAATTTTACTTAGAATGCTTCAGATTTGTGCATATTTGTTAAATGTTTGAGAAAAGAAGTCTTTTGCTTCTTATGCTCCTTGTTAGTAGCTAGTCACTAGCTAGTGATCAAATAAATGAGACAACATACTTATGGTCGTGCCACCTTGATATAAAATCTTCTGTTTGACATATTTCATTCAAAGATTAACATCCATTTTAATATATCTAATTGCAACCTTGATTTGTCTCAAGCAACCTATTTTAAATTGAATGTTTAGAAATCCAATGTACACTTCTAGTTTGATACTTGTTTAAGGGATGTAAGGTTGCTTAAGTTTTTACATCCTTAAAATTAATGTTGAGGAGGACCATTTTAAAATTTGCATATAAAGAATTTTGTACGCTTTCGTTATGAATGATTTTGAGGATGCTAAAATATATGTTGGTCTTTGATCTAGATTTTACTTTGAATACCCTCTAGTAAATACTTGTAAAATCATCGTAAGAAATTATTGAATAATCCTTTGAAAAAATTCTTGTGTGTCGAGAGATTGACACCTAATGTTAGTTGTTAAAAATTTGATCCTCTTTAAATTTATGATTATGAGGATTTAGAATGTGTATCATATTATTTCATAATACATAGAGGAGCTGTCTTATAAAAATGAATGTATTATAGATACTTGTAGCTAGCTACCTCAATTTAGAATATTGAATATATATATATATATATATATATCGCTTCTTATAAAGCCTTTCATTAGATTATATATAGTTGAGGAAATTATTATTAGACATGTATGTTTTGTTTCCTCCAACTATAAATGTAATATTTTGTCTACCTTAAGCTTCTCTCAAAGATTTTGTTGGAGAGCATTAGACATTTAGACTTATTTAGTTCACTTATGTGGTGAATGTATGCTTATACATTGGCATGACTAAAGGCTTATTGGACATGTGGGTTTCATTGTTCTTTTTAAGATAGCCTTGGTTTAGTAGGAGTTTGAGTTGTGTCCTTGTAAGGACATTTGATGATTTAAGGCCATTCTGCTATTATGCTCAGTTCTTGTTTTAGAAATAATGAAATGTTTTATATTGTTTGTTTCCTTATAGGATTTAATGATTCGTGTTTATGCATCTTGTATCACTTGTTTCCTCCTGGAATTCAATGATCTTGTATTGTTTTTATACTGAGTTTCAATCTAGATTTAGAGATGTTGCGGTGCTTTATATCATTTGTTTTTCTATAGAATTCAATGATTTGTGTTAATGCACCTTTATGTCACTTGTTTTCTTATAGGATATAGTGACTTTGTGTCATCTCTTTACTGAGTTATGGTCAGAAGACCAATTCTATGTTCAGTTCAGTTAGATGCATCTATATTATTTGTATTCCCATAGGATTTAATGATTCTGTTATGGTATGACATACATGTCACTTGTTTCCCCATAGGAATCAATGATTTTATGTTGTCATTTTACTGAACAGTGTTTGGAATAAAAATTTTGTATTTTGTTCAATTCAAATTATGAGACATTATATCACTTGTTTCCCAATAAGGTCCAATGATTTTGTGAAGTTTCATCTTTTAAATTTTGTTTGTTGCTTGTTTATATAAATTGCTTAATTAATGCAATTCAAGTCAAAGATTGTTAGAATATTTATTTATGAAATTACATTAATTAATAAGCCCAAACAGATTAATTTTTATGATCTTGTGTGGATCATGATAGGTAGATTATACAAGTGAGTCTAATGGATAAAGGCCCAACCTACAACCTTATAACCGTCGATTATTCCCTATTTTTTAAGTGACTAAGTCAGAGATAATAAAATATAATTAATTTATTTATTTATTATAGTAGTTATTGATATGGTCCACATAAGTCAATCAGTCGATAACCACAAATACACGATAGTTTTCACTTTCTCCATTATCTCTAAACTCTCTGCAAAACTACAGGGGTCTTATAGATTGTGTATCTGTTTATACTCGAGATAATTGAGGTATCTTAAGCGATCATGGATTCTTCAAATACACACACATTACTCTATTCAATCTTATTCAATACATGAATTGAGATATAAAATTAACAATTTCAAATTACGCGTAATATGATAATCTGATAAGGAAAGTTAATATCAAAAAAGGACTTAGGGACTCCAATGCAATTATTTCATTTCGTGGGACTTATATGTCAATATCCCATAGTGATCCTCACGTGTCATTTTCCCTAAATATTTTCCCACGAAGGCCCTTCAACGTAGTTTTTTCTAGATATATCTCCACTTTGGATTGCATTTAGCTCCAACTCTAAACCACGTGGCATTTGTTGATGCAAAGCGTGTACTGATGCACAAATTGCCACTCGTCTTCCCGTTCGGTGAACCGGTGGTTGCGTTTCTTCTTCATCAATGAATTTGGGGCTTGACCCCAAAACAAATTTCGAGCTATATTTTAAGTTTTTTAAAAAAAGAGAAATTTCACGCCACAAATGTAGGGCCTGGCGAGGTTTACATTACATGACTTGCAAGTTGCAATGAGTGAAGTGTGAGTTTGCAGCTTCTCTCTTTTTGGGCGTAGTTAGAGCTCTGGAATCATGAAGAATCCTGAAGAATTGGAACTCCTAGAGCAACCGGTGGTTCTCATCACTGGCTGTTCTCAGGGAGGAATTGGACACGCGCTGGCACGCGCATTCGCCGCCAACAAGTGTACGGTGGTTGCCACGAGCAGGTCGCGGTCATCCATGGCGGAGCTGGAGCAAGATCCCAGGCTTTTCTTGCAGGAGCTCGATGTTCAGTCGGAACAGAGCGTTCAACGAGCTGTGAAGAACGTTCTGGACAAGTATGGCCGGGTCGATGTGCTGGTGAATAATGCTGGAATTCAATGCGTCGGTCCACTTGCCGAGGTTCCTCTCTCCGCCGTCCAGCAAACTTTTGATACCAATGTTTATGGTTCGTGTCAATTTCCTCATCTTTCTCCATTTTAACCGTCCTCTGGTTTTGTTGATTCGGAATTTAGATACTATGCATCATCAATTTCACAGCGACATTGACAAATGAACTGGACAAATTTCAATTACTTATCCTTCCTGTAATCAGAATTAGGGATTTGACGTAATTTTGGTAATTGTTGTTACTTGTTACTGTTTATTTTCTTCTCACGGGATTGAAGAACTATACTAAAGAAGGAAGCTATTCGATGAATCTTCTGGCGTTCCATGCAAACGTCTGGATATGTTGCTCAAAAAGGAGAATCAATTGGTTTTACTGAATTGCGTAGTTACCAAGATTTTGTATGTTTCACTAAATAAACAAACGCAGGTTCATTGAGGATGGTTCAAGCTGTTGTTCCACACATGGCGAATAGGAAAAGGGGGAAGATTGTAAACGTTGGAAGTGTTGCTGCTATGGCTCCTGGACCATGGTCAGGCACTTACACTGCTTCCAAAGCTGCTCTTCATGCTTTGACTGATACTCTCAGGTTTGCATACTCTTCAAATCTGCAATCTTACTCTGAGAATTGTTCCCCATTTCTTGCATGAAATTAGTGACAATTGTATTGGTGAGTGGTGACAGAAAACCACATTTCATGTAGTTATGTGCACGCTTTCAGTCGTTGCTAAAAGTTTTCTAGACTTCATGAGGGTTTAAGGAAACTGCAATCTTTCCCATAAAAAAATAGTGACAAAGTGTTAGTGACAGTAAACTAATCAAAAGCGATTAGTTTCTTATGACATAACAAATTAAGGTTTGAATCCATGCTAGGAGAATTGTCCACATTTAGTATACGATAGTGGCTCAAGTAAAGTTGCCTCTAATAAAAAAAAAAATACATATCAGCAAAAAAAAAAAAAAAAAACTACTGTGTCCACGCTTTTAGTTGTTCATAAAGTTGTTCCTAGACTATCCCCAACAAAAAGAACAAAGAAAAAAAATGAAGTTTCCTCCTAGACTTTATCAGGGTTTAAGGAAACTGCAACCTTAATTATTCAAGAAAAGCTGTACTCTTTGAGGGACTAAGATCTCTTTGGTTATTAAAAAGGATTGGAATAGAATGGATTGAAAAAATAATGGTAAAAAGAAAATGGTCAAAAGAGATAAGTGAACTGCATTTATAAGGGAGATAGGTAATTGGTTCATGGGGTTAGAAATAATAATTTATAAGATTTTTGGAGGATGTGATGATTTCAATATATTAATGAGTTTTACCATACTTACTACGAGGAAAAATGGTGATGTAATTCATTTTTTTTTTAATTTTTTTTAATCCATTCCATTCCAATAAACAAACAGGACCTAAGTGATGCCACCTGCATACATATTCAGCACTTTTCTTTGATCCACATGTTAAACTATTGTTCCTTGACTTATGTGAGTTTTGCATTTTCTGCTTGCCATTTGTTTATTCGAAATATGTACAGATTGGAACTGAGTCATTTTGGGATTGATGTTGTGAATGTTGTGCCTGGAGCTATCAAGTCAAATATTGGGAATTCTGCAGTAGCCAGCTACAACCGAATGCCTGAATGGAACTTGTTTAAACCATTTGAAGCAGCAATCCGGGAGAGAGCTTATTTTTCTCAAAGATCCAAGTCCACTCCTACGGATGAGTTTGCTAAAAAGACTGTGGCTGCCATCCTCAAGAAGAACCCACCTGCATGGTTCGCTTCTGGTCATTACTCAACCATCATGGGTATTATGTATCATATGCCAATCTGTGTTAAGGATTTCTTTTTGAGGAAAGTAATGAATTGTTGAGGGAGGTACACGTTGCTTTTATTATTGAAAAGAACATTACTAAAGAAAAAAAAGTTGATGGAGAAGATGTAATAAATTTTAGGTTTATAGGTTATTTTTGTCCCTAAATTATTTCTATAAGATCTGCAGGTATCCTGAACTCGGGAGCAAAAGTGACTCTTAACCACATATTTTATTATAAAAAATACAAAAAATGGTTGAACCCACTCCATCAAAAATAAACATTAGGGCATGTTAATGGTGGGGTGATAAGGCAACGGATTTTGAACATTTAGAAACAAAAATAACCCAATATTGAGTTTAGAGTATTGCAAACTCTAAAGAAAAAGTTTAAGAATAAAAATAATTTTAACCCTAAATTTTATTGAATTAAAATTTAGAATTAGAAAGTAATAGAAAGTGCTTTTGATGACATAGACTTTATTGAAGCCACTTTTGTTTCTCATAAACTTGATTAGCTATTTTTTTTAGATATTTATACTTATTACCAAAAATTTATACTTATTTTGAATTTAATTTTATTTAAATACAAATTAGACAATTTGTTTATAACAAAGTTTAGGTAAATTGGACTCTAAAAACTCATTAAAATTAGGATATATCTTTAGGTTCAAAGAATGTTTGAAGATGTACTTATGTTTTGCTTACCAATATTATCCTTACATTGTCAATAAAATTTGAACTTATATCCTAATGCATGGATCTAGAGCTTGGTAATTGGGAGAGCCAAACTAAAAAAAAAATAAAAAATGGGGGACCAAAATTTAATTTAAACTAGGGTTAAGGGTCATTTTTGTCCCTGAACTATACACGAAATGTCACAAATATTCATAAATTCAAGTATGAGTTAATTGTGTCCCTCAATTTTAAAAATTTCGTCGGTCATCACTCTGACATTAAAAAAACTTAATGTTCATTTAGGGGTGTTCACGGGACGGGACGAGATCGGGACACCCCCATCCCGTGTCCCGTCCCGAAAAAAAGATCGGGACTGAATTTTGGTCCTGTGTCCCGTCCCGACCCGAAATTCGTCCCGTTCCGTTAAGAGTCGAGACGAGACCGGGACAAGATCAGGACGTCCCGCCGTCCCGATAAATGGAATAATATCAAAAAAAGATCTGAACAATAACGTTCATTAAAATTTTAAATCATATAATTTATTAAGTTTAAAATCAAAACAACACAAGCACATAAATAACAATAATTTAAGATCAGTTATTGAATTATATTAATCACAACTACATATTATAATAACAAATACAAGTAATCTTTATGCTATAAGATTAGCAACAACAGGCAAGTCAAATACAACATCAAATCATTGTTCTTCTACTTTAGTGAAGATGTATTAAACTAATTACTCTTTTAAAAATAAGCAAGAAATATATTATAAATAAAATTTATTAAATAGATAGATATAAGAATAAATTATATTAATATAATTAATATATTATAAAGAAAGATATCACCATGTTTACTTCATGCCATTAAAATTATCAATATAAAAAAACTTTAGTTTTAAATAAGAATTGCAAGTATTAAAATTATAATTGATATAAGTATAAATTATATTAATATAATTAATATATTTAAAATCAAAAATAATATATATAATATTCGGGACAGGACGGGACGTCCCGATAATAATCCCGTGTCCCGTCCTGTCCCGAATCCCTTTCCTGTCCCGTTCCATAAAGTCCCGTCCCGATTATTTTTGGGCCGGGACAAGACCTGTTCCGATATGATCGGGACGATACCGGACCAGTCGGGACGGGTCTAAACTGAACACTCCTATGTTCATTAATCATTAGTGAATCCCACTATCTTTTTAATATTTTTTGTCAATTTAAGAATCAATTTTGTCTTTCAACTTCTATTCAAAGGGTTATTTTTATCCCTCAGTTCAAATATTTTATAATAAAAAATATAGTGTGAAGCCTACTAACGGTTAACTAATAGTGAGAAAATGGCCAGGTGATAAGGAAGGAAATTTTTAAAGTTAAAGAACAGAATTGATTCATAGTTGAGTTTAGAAATATTTGTAACCTTTCATGTACAGTTCAGGGATAAAAATAATTCTACCCTTCAAACTATTTTATAAATAAGAAAGTAATTTTTACTAAAAGGTCAATAATGCATGGGGGCAAGATCCATCACTGCATATCCTTATAAATTATACATTAAATCTTTATCAACTAGATTAATATCTATTGGCTAGATTATACAATTTTTAAAATTTGTTACAATCACATTCAACAATTGAAATTAATCTTATTTTATTAGGTGGGTATTCCCATTACTAATTAATATAATTCTAAAAACTGGATTAATGAGAAATTTATGGTTTGGAGCTTAGGGAGAAGTTCCCCTAGCACTATTTTAAGTTCAATTTATAAGATTGGACTTCTAATCAAGTCTCTATGATAATAAATTAAATTAATTACAGGTATTCATTGTATTATGATAATAATAAATTAACTGATTATATTTGTGAGAGTTGAATGTGATTTTTAAACTTTTAAAATGAAGTTAAATGAAACCTAAGTTAAAGTTGAGAAAAGTTTTGCATGTTGTGATTTTTGACCTCAATCTTTTTCAATCATATGAGATAGTAATTAATTTATAGGAAAAATATCTACCAAGGATTGTTAGAGAAAATGTTTATTAGCTTTCTTAATCCTTGACTAATATTATCATTTACAAGAAATGACCGAATTGCCTATAAAATTTAAAATGGTGCCAGCCACCTGTGACACTTTTAATGAAAGATGATAATTGATAAATTACAGGTGGTTAGGGGAGGATTTAATTTTATGACCTCTTAACCACCTAAAAACCTTTGTGGCCTCCCATTTAATTGTATATAGCAATATATATATAGTAACTCAAGCTTTTAAACCAATTTCATGTTTTAACATAATAGGGTGTTGTTAATTTCTTAACAATACTTATTATTTTACTAATGTTTCTTATTAATTTGACATGGACAATTATAAATTATAAGCTTTAAAACTTCATGCACTTTATTTATTAAAAGTCTAAATGTATTGTTAATCATGAATGGTTCGTTGTCAAAACCCGAATAAATACTTGTTGATAAACAACTAACATGTATAATTAAGCTCATCCTATCAGATTTTTCAACTTATAAAAACCCGAATGAATTGTTGTTAATTTTAAATAAGTTGTTATCAAAATATAAATGAATAATTATTGATGAAGGACTAACACTTGTATAATTATACTCATCCTTTCTATTTTTATAACTTGTTAAAGCTTGAATGGATTATTGTTGTTTTTGAATATGAAGTTGTTAAAATTTAGGTGGATACTTGTTGATAAAAAATATCCTATCCATTTTTCTAACCTGTTAAAGCTTGAGTGGCTTCTTGTTAATTTTGAATTAATTATTTTTAAAATGAAAAAATTACATTCAGCCCCCTTCTAAAGAAATTAATTATAGATAAGTACCAATGCAAAATAAATTATTGTTAAAATGAGAATATGAATTGTTTTTTCTCAAATGGGACTTCTTGTTGGTCCTTATCTGTAACTAATTTCCTTGGGAAGGGGTTGAATGTGATTCTCCCTTTTAAAATCTAAATGGCTTGTTATTTATACACTTGTCAAAACTTGAATGCATTGTTTAAACATGTGCTTTTAATTATCACATTAAGTATTTATTCGGATTTTGACAACACCATATTCAAAATTAACAAAAATCTATTCAAACTTTAACAAATTAGAAAAACAAATATGATAGGCATTATTGTACATGTTAATTTTTCATTAACGAGTATCTATTCAAGTTTTAACAATACATTTGAAATTAACAACAATCCATTCAAACTTTAACAAGTTAAAAAAAACAAATAGGATGTGCATAATTGTATGTATTAGTTTTTTATCAACAAATATTCATTCAAATTTTAACAACTCCTCATTCAAAGCTAACAATAATTCATTTGAGTTTTAACAAGTTATAAAAATAGATATGATAAGCATAAATGTACAAGTGTTAGTCATTCATCAACAAATATTCATTTAAGTTTTGAAAATAATTCATTTGAAATTAATAACAATCTATTTTGATTTTTACAAGTTAGAAATATGATAAGATGGATTTAATTGTATATGTTAGTCTTTCATTAACATATATTCATTTGAGTTTTGACAACTCCTCATTCATAATTAACAATACATTTGGACTTTTTCAACAAATAAAATGCATGAAATTTTAAAACTCCTAATTTATAATTATCTATGTCATATTAACAAGTAGCATTAATAAAATAATAAATTTCGTTCAAAAATTAACAATACACTATTATGTTAAAATATGAAAGTGGTTTAAAAACTTGTGTTATTATTTGCTATATATAAAATTAAATAAGCTTGATGACCTTTTAAATAGCCAAGGAATCATGAAATCAAACCTTCCTTTGATCACCTTTAATTTACCAATTATCATCCTTCAATAAAATATCACCGATGCCAAAGCTTAAGTGACTAACCATTGGCAATCCCACATGCAGCAAGGGCTTCAATGACAAGCGCTAGAAACAATGAGAGTAGCCTTTTTTTAATTTAAATTTTTGGAACAATTTGATCACTTTACATAAAAATTAATATTAGTCAAGAATTAAAAGACTACAGTACAATCAAAATCTATTGATCCTCATCTGATATAAATTTCTTCCAATAATCCTTAATTGATATTTTTCCTAATTTATATTTGTTTGTATATTACGTCGTCTACAAGTATTTTACATCAACATTATCAACCTAACCATTGCCATGCAAGTTGATGATATGATATCATTAACATGTAAGATCCCCTTGTAATGAAATCTATACAGAATAAATATCTCAGACAAAATAAAAATTCTTCCCAAGCTTTTGAGACAAAAATTCTTCTATTTCTTTGCCTTTTTTTTTTTTTTTTGAGTTTAACACTTCAGATATTGTGAACTCTTCGCACTCACCCTACTGAATTCATCTATTTAAAATCTTTATAATGGGCTAGTCCTTTGTTTTTGGTCCGTCCCATGTAAGCTCAATTTCAGGCACCACCATTGGCATACATAAAATTCCAAAATCTCCAGAAATTGCTTTTAATCTAAACATGGTCATTTTAATTAACCTACCCTCTGTAAACCTCATGAATGATGGTGATTACCATAGTATACCATTCCCGGTGGCTGGAGAGGCCGGAAACTGGGAGGTACTGGGGCTTGCTGCGCCATTGTTATTGGTTGGTGCTGGTTTATAGGCGCCGGCTGATGCTGGCTTATTTGTAGCGTCTGATGCACCATAGGTGGCCCCACCATGTGAGGCGGAGGCAGCGGTGGTGGTGGTCCGGGAGGTAAGGGAGGGATGTTTCCATAACCATAACCAGGGATTACTCCTGTTGATTGCGCATACTGCTGGGAGGTTGGATTACCAAGCAAATGATATTGACCTTGTGATGCAGGGGCTTGATTCTGCATTGTTGGTTGAGCCACCAAAACTGAAGGAAATGAATGACTTGGTCCAGGAATCATTTGCTGTGTAGACCTAAAAACATTGGGATCTGATACAGGCGTGGGTTTGTCAGGGTTTGAGGATGATGCAGAAGCTAGACCAGCATTTTTTGCCTCTTCGGCAGCAAATGTCGAGAGAACAGAAGTCATGATCAATTGGGATGAGGAAGAAGCCGCAAGCTTATCTGCAACCTCCGCCGCAATTGCCGCAGCTGATTTCTTCGTCGGTGCTTCGGATTTTGTGGTTGCATCAGTTGCCAAAGTGGATGCTTTCTGCACCAAGTCGTCATCATCTAGCCGTTTCCTCATATTGCTAGCCTCCTCAACTTGTGCTTCTGCTACCTTCACATTAGTTGAGATGTATCAGCACACAGTGAATACTGTATATGTTAGCATCAATAGCAGCAAAAGCATCTCAAGCTCGAAGCAACAATGAAAGCAAGATCAACAAGTTACAAGTGGCATCAAAATGTTATTAGAATTGAGTTATTTCAGACTTAGATCCACAAAAAACTGATGTTTGTCAAGCCTTGTGAGTAAAATCTTGAATGAATCATGGACATATGCAGTTGTAATGCGGTTAAGGATATCCTCAATTAATATCAAATGGAAAGAAAGGCAAGCAATTATGTAGTTTTCTTCAGACAATCAAATTTAATCAACCATGCTTATCAATTAACTCAAGATACAAAAATCTATAGAGAGAGAAACTCAATGTCTTGAATAACGTTGCTTCATAAAACTCAATCTCCTGGCTCCATTCTGAAGATCACTACATAATTATCTAGGCAACTACCAATCCTCTACAATGATTCTTCAGAGCATTTTCAACCAAAACTAAAATAAGAGACTGATCAAAAGAGGACAGCCTTTTGTAAAAAGAAATAATGTCACATACCTGCACTTGAGTACGGATATTCTCCAGTTCAGATTCCTGAGACAAACACACAAAGGATTATAAGAAATTACCGTTTAGAATTCTGTCAACCAGAAACCAGGAGAGTTTGGATCCCACAAAGGAATTTAAGCAGAAGAACGTGATAACAAACCTGCTCATGCAAAGCTTCTTTTAACTGCGATACAAGTGCTACTCTACTTGCTTCAACTAATTTAAGTTTTTCTATGCACTGTCTCAAGATATTTTCTTCCTCCTCCACTCCCTTTGCCAAAGTTTTTCGCTTTGGATCCTTTGCTGAAAAAGAAAGCAAGATTAGAATCATAAACTTCACAATGTAGATTTACTTTAATCCTATGAGCTTACCAATAGTACATGCAATATCAACATCTTTTTCCATTTTTCTTACACGCTGAACAGCAGACTTGCATTTTTTCATCTCTGCATCTTCATTCGTTTGTTCACTGAGCACCAAATGAAATGCAGAAACTATTTTCTCAGCTGCACCCCCAATGGACAATTTCTGGCTTCCAAAAAAATAAATTGTGAGATCAAGAAGCAATAAAATATTTGAATATAAAAATAGAAATTGGATGAAGAAGAAGCCACAAAGGTCCAAAGTCTAACCGTTCTAATGGAGCGAGAATCCCTTTTCATAATTCTTACGGATCGAGATCGCTTTTTGTTGAATTCCAATGGTGGAGGTGCTTCTTCTCCAAGCATTACATCTCTAAGATTACGTGCCCGAGATCCAAAAACCCTCCTTTGCTCCCATATATCAACCTAAATGTTGAATGAGCACCCGATTAACCAATCAAACAGCTTGACATCATAATAATGGTATGCAAATCCTTTTGTCAACATTCATAAGACATATCTAAAATTATAGCCCATGCATAACTAATTAATTACATGCCTGCAAACTCTTTAGGTTCAAATCTCCCCCACACACATTCCTTTTGATTGATTGTGAATGTTGTATATACTTGAAAATAATTACTTCAAACCGTAGAAAACAGACTTACCAGTCTAGATACCACTTTCTTTCCATGATCATCACCTTTCTCACTTACATCTTTAAGTGCAGCAGGAAGAACCTTCCAAAACTCGGCAACAAATTCATTTCCTTTCCGCTTGCTGTTCTGCAAAATATCATTTGCAAGATATAGAAGGGGCACCCTTTGAACCATCTCTGAATTGTGAAATTGTTTATTCCAAGTTTCAACAACCAATTCTGCTTTGCTCCGGTGAAATATGCACCAATGTGATAAAGCTAAGATAAAAAGTTAAAGATAACAGACTGTGTAACATCAGCATCAAATAATTAAAATGCACCCATTTACATTTCAACAAGCAACAAGTCAGTCTTCAAACAGAAACAAGTCTGACAACAAAATTTGATGCTACAAAAAATCTTCAATCTATCAATCAGTTCAAGAACCAAAAATAATACTTCCAGTCTCCAAGAACTAGGATTGCACCAGTAAATCTTATCTCCCCTTAGGACATTGGATGATATTCTTAAATCTGACAAACAGTGGGACTTGTTCAGGTCTAAATCAAGTATATTTAAAAAGAAAGAAAACAAAGAGCAATACACAAAAAAGCACGGGAAAGAAGAAATGGCAATAGAAAGATGATGAAGAACTATTTTTTTTATAGGTCCAGGATAGGGAAAGATTCCATAGAACTTCACAGCTCATACATGAAAGAAATGAATAGACAGGATTACCCTCATCACATAAAACATAATGAACTTGTCATTAACAGATTAAATCTCCTTAGAATATGGATCATTAATCACTACGAGTGTTATCTAAGTCAGCAATTTCAATGATATTATAAAAGTTTCCACCATAACTCAGTCTCAACTTGAGCAACACCCATTATATTCTACTCATTTGTATTATATAAGACACATAAATATATGTCTCCTACTATAGTTGCATTGCCATTTCAGCATGTGACAAGAATTTCTCTGGTGGTTTTATGCCTCATAAATTTGTTTTCTGCTCCAATTGCCCACCAAAAAAAAAAAGGCCTTGGAAGCTAGCATGGCAACATTAACCATCACCTGCAGTGTTTGTGGGGCTTGCCATTCTATGCCATCAACAACAATGACTAATATCAAAATTGTTTGCCAAAGTAATCTACCGGCATGATGGGCCAACAACACGCTTTTTAGACTCATGAATCATGATTGCAATTTTGAACTGCCAACCTAGCATGTTTATATATTCCACGTTGTTCCACAAACAATAACAATATGTGTAAGAAATTAATTAAACCATATAATACTCCACAAGAGAATGATTCAGGGAAAAAACCTAAACCAACAAAAAGAAAAAGATACAGGGGCACCACAGCAGTTTCTATGGCTATGGTGGCCATTTTCTATTGTGCTCATGAGGTATGCCACTAGAGGCCATTGACAGCACTGATTTAAACCAAAATTGTTCACCAAATTAATATAAAGGCATGACAGGGCCGAATCACAATCCTTAGACTTAGCATTGCAATTTTGGAACTGCCAGCTAAGTGCAATTATAAATGCCACATGTTTCTATAAACAACTTCGATATATATATATAGAAAACTAATTAAACCATAAGAAATCAGAAAACACTTCCAAATCCTAAGATTATACGTGCCAGATTGGTTAGGCGATGCGCAGGACCATAAAAGCAGTCTACTAAAAAAATTATCAAGAACAAGGAAGTCAATAACAGGATACTTTCAATACACTGCTGGGTGCTGTTAAGCTTCGACAGCTTGTCCGCAAGAATCTGCTCGCTGAACACGCTATTCATCCCAACTCCAGAGGGTTCCCAATCTACCTTCCACAAACAGTATAAGTCAAACCCTACGGAAACGAGCATAAATTATGGGAAAACAGAAAAGAAAATTTTGATTTTGGGACCATACAACCCTAGAACAGAATTGAAACAAAGCAAAGAATAAGGAAGTTACTTGAAGCATACCTTAGCAAGTTTCAATGACCAAACCAGGAGAAACTTTGGCACAAAGCCAACGAATCCCAAAAATTGAGCAAATGCGGAGCATGGAGAACAAATTGAGCAAAAATACAAAACTTCAACAATGTTAGAAAATTAGAGCGGACAGAAACTACCACATTATTGACAAAGCACAGAAACTCTAAGACGAAACAAAGGTAAAGAGCTATTCTGGTGAGTTATGGTGAATTTAGACGAAAGGAGGTCGATTTAGGAAAACCCTACAAAAAGATTATTAATTTACACGAGAAAAAATAGGAGAGACGCAAAACAAGACCCAAGAAGAGATGAACAGAAAAAGAAGTCCAAGAGGAAAAGAACAGAGAAACAAGAGCACCAAGGAAGTGCAAGTGCGAGGTTTGAGTTTTCTCCCGTTTGGCGCAAACCAAGCAAGTTGCCTCAACGGGGCAGGATAAATAGACAGCACCGACTCTATGCTACTAACAGGTAATAGGGAGAAGAATCATAACAATTAATACTACAAGGTCAATTAAGCATGGAAAATTGACAATTAAAGATGTCATTTTTTTTTTGTTAAGTTGTTATCTTATATATTTAAATATATAGTGTGAAATTTATATACAATTCTCCCATTTTTTCCACTGTAAAAGAAAAATGGAGACAAATAAAGCTTGTTTATTTATTTATTATTTAATATTATAATAATAATTTTATAATATATTAAATCACGTTTACTTACCAGAATAAAATGAAATGAAATAGATTAAAAAAATAAATATAAAAATAAGATAATCAAAAAAATAGGTAAACACATTTATAAAAAGAAGGGGTAATTTAGATCATGAAATTAGGAATCATAATTTATGAAATTTTTAGGAGGTATGATAATTTTTACACTTATAGTACATATCAATGAATTTTATAATGCTTACTATGAGGGGAAGGGTGATTTAGTTCACTTTTGTCTTAATTTTTTTTAATCAATTTCATTTTATTTTATTCTAAGAAGCAAATGTGACCTAATTCTTTATACATTAAAATTGAGATCTAATAAGTGGGGAAGGTAGGAGGTGGTAAGTCTTTAAGACAACTTGTATCGATCAAAGAGTAGGAGTACACGGTAAAGGAAAATCATCACAATAAAATACTTGAAAAGTGACAACCACATAGATAAATGCCCTAGTGAATCATAAAGCACGGATTATTCTTCGAAAAACTGCTTGAACAAACTAGATTTTTTCTATGATATTGGATAAACAATCTTGTGCATCTGTTATTTGAGGAGTCCTTGGTAGAGATGATCCAATGAAAAACCATTTTAAGAGCTAAAAGTGTTGGATTGTGGATCTTCTTGTTGGGGGTGATAAACTCACTTAAAAACTCTCGGGGGATAATTCCCAAAAGAAGCAATGGAAAGAAGCCAAGTTTTTTCTCTCTCTTTTGTTTATAGATAAGCAAGTTCCAGTCTAAGTTGTGAGGGGCAGCTAGCATTAGTGGTCTTGATGAAATGGTGGATGAATTAGGAATGGAGTCATTGGTTTGAAGGTTACTTTATGGGCAAAGTTGAAGATGAAGTTATGGATGGAGATAATGGATTTAATGGTGGCTAATGGATTGGGGGTTTAAATGGGTATTGGAGTGGATGATTTCATTTCTTCTTGTCTAGATTGTATGAGCAATGATAATGATAAGGCTTAAAAATTGAGAATCATCTGAAGGTGTGGACAACAAATTGATTAGCCATTTAAAAAAAAAATCAAAAGTTTGAATGCCATCCATTCCAAGAGAGAAGATGCCAAACTAAAGAGCCCTTGCAAAGCTACAATGAATGAATTGGTGATTTATAGAGTCTACAGAGTCCCAAAAACACTATTATTGTTAGCAAGATGATGAAGGTTCAAAGTATCTCCACCAGGTGCATTTATGAATGAGCTTCCAAGTGAATAAAATGTATTTGGATGGCAAGAGAAGTTTTCCAAAGGTGTTCCCGATTAAGGTTAAAAGTGTTGGACATAATAGTTTACGATATTATATTTAACTTAAATTTTAATAATGATAAATATTAGAGAAATTAATTGTATCTATACTTTTGCATATTTGTTTTCACACACACACACACACACACACATATATATATAGTAGTTAACTATAAATATAGAATAAATGTTTTAAAGTGTTTTTTACCTATATTGTTTCATATTATATGAGATTTGAAAAAATGGCTAATGTGTATAAAAGTTATTTTATACTATCATATTTTTTCTTATCTAAAAATAATTATATATCCAAGGGTGTTTGAAGTATTATTTTTATAACTTGGATATTTACATATACAAGACTTTCATATTCATGACATGATACCTTTTATATTTATTCTCATACATATTGATATTTGGATTAATCACCTTGTTCATGACCTATCATTGAAGGTTGTTCAAAATAAAAATGAGAGTGAGCATGAAGAGGAAACAACCAAAGTTATCATTACCATGCTACACTTGACATTAAAAGAAAATAAAGAGAAGGATGATTCAAGAAGAGTTTAAGAAAAATAAAGACATACAAATTTTGATGCATCATAACATTGGATTTGATAAGCATAATATCCTTATACTAGAAAAATTTATGTTAAACCCATTGATTCAAATATTTAGTATTGGCTCAAGATATTTCAAATCAAAACATACATTTTAGTTCTTAAAAGAAATGGTAGGATATAATTTTTTATAATCATGGTTTTAATCTTTGGTCATCTACATCTCACAAGCTTTGAAATGTTTTAATTATTGACTTCATAAGGCTTTCAAATATGTTCTATTTACTTAAATGAAGTTAATTTAAAAAAGTTATAAATACTTGAAATCTAAGATTTAAAATATGAATTGTGCATAAAATCATATTTAACTTTTGGTCACGTTTTTACTCATATATCTCACTATACATATCATTTTAATGAGAAACATATCTTATTTGAAAGAATACTGCAACAGCTTTTCAATTATAGTTAAGTTATTCAAAATGGAGTTATATTAAGAAAGATATAACTTTTTGAAATTGACCACTGAGATATTGATTCTATACAATATTCAGTTTTGATCTTTGGTCACTCTTTTGATCATATCTCACAAAACATGTTGAATTTAGTGATGAAACTTGTTTTATTAAAAACTCGACTTCAAGATATTTTTGATGGTATGTAAGTTTCTAAATTTGAAATTATATTAAGTGAGTTATACCCTTCAAAAGTTTTATGCCGTAATGTCTATCATACAGGTGTCTAAGAATAGACATGTGCATGTTTCAGCCTTAAAATGCATTGTAGGATTTAGTTTGATCTAATTCTTGCATGTGTTAGAACTAGAATCGCTTGGTTTAGAATATAGAAGCATTTCCTTTTACTGACCTTTATTAGACGCTTGTCTCAGAAGTGACACTGGCTTGTCTTGGTAATTGTTCTAAGTTGCCTAGAACTCACTTATCTCAAAATGGACACATGTAACATATAGTGCTCACTCAAGAACCTGCTTCAGAGTTCCATCTCATGCTTGAGTTGATCATTACGCACACAAGTCTTAGTATAACATCCAAAAAATTAACCCCTGATTAACTAAGTTAAATGAGGATAATTAAGAAAATTAATGTGCTGTTTGATTAGAGAATGGTTAAAGAGCACCAACGGGTCTATTAGGTTGTAGTTGCAATCTAAAGATTGAATTCAAAGTAGAGTTAGGCCATTTGGGCCCTAAAAGAGGAAGAAAACTTACAAGGTATGTTTTTACACCACGCATCGCAGCAAATGCAGTGGCCATCACGATGCATAGATCACAAAGCTAGGAGAACTGCTCTCTATACCACATGCCGCGGTGCATAGCCAAAAATTTTAATATAGAACACATGTTTTAGTTTGAAAAATAGAAAGAGAAAAGGAGAGTTAAGCAAGATAATGAAGAAGTACAAGTTTGCCTATGCTAGAGCTTCCATTTCTAGGGGCTTGAGGACAATTCGGATCTTCCTCTTCTATTTTCTAAAGTCGGTGAAGTTAGGGTTTTCTTAGGAAGTGATTTTTAAACCTTTAAGACTATAAGTCTGAACTTATTAATTTAAATAGAGTTAATAAAAGTTGTTTAGATTATTTAAGTTTAATGTTTATTACTTTATAAGTGTTTGGTGGATGGAGGCCATTAGCGGCCGAAAATCATCACTAGTGAGGTTTTTTAATGCCATTAATGGTAGTTCTAGAGTTTAATAGATCTAATAAGAGCTAACAGGAGTTAATAAACTCAATGGGTATGTTTAAATGCAAGGAGATTGTAATTTTAAGTGATGAATGTGTTGATTTGAGGGTTGTAAATTCATTAATGGTGAAATTAATGATTTTAAGTATTATTAATTGTAGATTAATCTTCAACTGGAACCATTCAAGCTTGGAATAGCTTTGGAAGTTATTGGTATTAAAGGATAAAATTTTTAACCTCTAAAAAAATTTAGTTTTTGTAGTTTCTTGTTTAATTAATTATAAGCATTTAAGAGCTTGTTTGAGAATCATTTGATGCTTGTAAATTTGCTTGATGCAAGTGTGTGGTAATTTTGATAAAGAGATCATAACATCCTAAGTTTTTTTAATCCAGAAGCTAATTACTAATTAAGGGTAACCTAATAAATTAGTGGATTAAGTAATTTAATCATGATTTTGGATTGTAAATTTACATTTTGGGTCATTAGACAATTGTAAAGTCAAGGTAGGATGGAATTTTGAGTGGATTTTCAAATGATAAAGCTAAAATGAGAAGTATCTCACTCTACAATGCGCCGTGATGTATGGTGTAAAAAGTTGATTATTAAGTTAATGGTCAAACATGAAAGCAAAGAGAAAAGAAGGAAAAGAACGACAGAGAAGGGAGAAGAAGAGGAGCTCTGTTAGGCCATGCCATCACAGGCACCTGAGAGTTAGTTTCAACATATCTCCTTTCGAGTAAGCTTGGTATTTCCCTACTCTCTTGTTCTACCATATTTTATCTTGGTTGATATATGAAGAAATTAGATTTTTGAGATAATGAGCGATTATTGTTAGGCCTAAAGATTGTTAAAGGGTTATTGAAAGTGAAATTAAAGGTTTACAACTAGTTGGGTAGTTATTGATTGAGTTTTGTGGATTAAGCTTAATTTTATCCTCAATTGAAAGACTTTAAATTGTGAAAACTTTAGATTGATATTAATGGAGTTAATAGAAGTTGTAAGGAGTTGTGGAAGGTGGTCTGCACATAAAATAGTCCAAAGAAAAGGATTGGAAGTTTATGTTAGTTTAATTGTTTTAGCAAGAGATTAAGCTTAGAAATCACTAAGTTATGAAATTTGTGTTCTTATCACTCTTGCTTTATGAAAGTCTTGTTTTTGAGCTAATATCTTTTATATCTTCATCATTTAAATATAATTACTTAATTGTAATAATTCTACTCTCAAAGAAAATGAAGGAGAGATATTCCTTATAATAAAAGAAGATTGTTCTCTTAGGAAGAAACCTCACCAGTGTAGTGTGTGGTCATAACAGCTCACAAACAACTAGTTTAAACTTGTTGAAAATAGTGAATAAATCTCATGTGGTTGCTTGGATTTTAGGTATTTAAATCATTTTAAGAAAACATGTTAGTTTCTATACAATATGTTACTCCTTTACCTACTTCACTTATTCATTATCCTACTTCACTTGTTCATTACTCTATTTCACTTGATTTCATTTCAGGAAAATAAACAAATGAAGTAGGGCAAATAACAACATTCCATAAACAAATGAATAAGAAAAGTAGGGCAATTTTTATGTTAATTTAAATGAGGAGTAATTTTATCATTTTTCTCATAAAGTTAATATCAAATCAATACCCCTAGACTGTAGTGAAATTTTAAAAATTTAGAGGCTTACAATTTAAATAAGTATGGTCTAAAAGTCCTTATTGAAATTCTCTCTTAAATTTAATGTAGATGATTCAATTTAGTATTTAATTTTTATATATTGACTATTTAGATATACTCTTCACAGTTCAGATTTAAAATTTTTAACTTGTAATTTTTAAAAATTATTTTTTAAAAATGTCAATTTTATATATTTTAATTTTTAATATTATATTTATCAAAATAAAAATTATGAAAAAATTTAATATTAAATATGAACTATATAAAATACATCTGAATAGTCAATATATAACAATTATAGAAAATTTAATATTAAATTAAACTCTTCAAATTAAATCTAGGCTAGATTAATGATGAAAAAATTTATTAAAATTTTTAATAATTTTCACAATTTTTTATCATAAAATAATATTTTAAATTTAAACTATTCAAATTTCTCAGTATATCGATGAGCATGATAGTGCTCATTAGTGTGATAAGCACTAATCATGAATCCTTCGACCATAAGCTGAGTTGGAAATTAGGCCAACAAATAGTTTAGATTGGCCCATGAACTCATATCAAATCAAATTAACATTAATTTAACTTTTTTATATGAAAACACAGAACTCAAAAGTGTCTTGTATAAAAAAAATGATTATTTAGATGGTAAGACAATTAAGTTTATAAGAACTTCTCAATTTTTTGAACTTTTATTGGTGATGAGTTAACTACTCATAGAGAGACCAGTTTTGTGATGCAGATTAGTTTATTAATCTCCAAAAGTAATTACCTATTGTCATACAATAACCCTATATTATCCTTTTGGACTATTCAACTAATTTAATAAGTCGTTTTACCAAAAAAGATGCTACTCAAGAAGCTCAAAGGATCAAGAGTTTTTTCTCTAAACTTTGCAACACTCATTTTTCTCTAGATGTTGGTCCACTGAACTAAATTAGACTCATTTATCTTAATTACATAACCCTTCATAATGTAATTCTAATTCTAATAAAATATATAGGATGCCTATATTAAAGCCTATTATTAAAATAACCTCTCATCCTCATGAACCAAAAATCCAAAGTCTTTAATGAAAGTTAGCTCAACCATTTAATCTTTTGAAGTCCATCTTAAAACTAGTGCTTTTGCAATTTTCTTCCAACATGCTTTCCCAGATCATCACTTGCCAATCATCAGCCAATAAAACTCACAACACTTCCGTCACCTAAACACCATCCTTGAAAGGTGTTATCCTTTGAATGGAGTATTTGGCACCTACATCTCCTTATGTTCCCGTAAGAGTCTTTGCCAGTTGACTTTTCTTGTGTTTGAGTCCTTGCTACATTTTTTGCGTTCCATATGATGTAAAGCTAATCCTGCAATGGAAGAGAGAAGAATAAATTTTGATTTGAGCGCTTAACCAACTAACACCAAACTTTTGTGGCATTAGGGCAATCCCTAGGAATATATAGAGCGGAATTAGGGAAATTGAAACCAAAAGAGCAAGCTCTCCTGCAAACTCCATTCCCTTATCATAAGGAAAATCTTCTAAGAGAGAAATAGGTCTCATCTCTGTTATACCGAACATAAAAGTGAGATTGACTCATCTATTTTTATATTTCTCCAGCTTGATCTCTTCAAAGTATTTTGAAGAATGCAAGTCTCCTCTTATCATTATTTCACCCACGTGCACTGCCCAGCCGATGGCTCTCTGCCAGAGTATATTGCTTTCTTGAGCCTTTACAGGGGTTTCTCCTCCAATCTTGCCCCTCTCTATCTCTGATGAATAAATTGACTTATACACTTACTCAGCTCTTGTATGATTACGAGCCCTTTTCGGCTAAACCTGCATTGAGAAATAGCAGAAGAGAGTTTTCAACTCCATTGCCTTCCAAAAGAGATAACATTTTCCTCAACAAAAGCCTTACTTTCTTCGGGTTTTTGTTTTTCATAAAACAGAATTTCAATGCCACGTCGAAGCATCTTTTTTCCCTCGAGGACTCTTGAAAATTGGGATACATTGATCTCCTTTGCCAGCCCGTAAAATCAACGATTAATAACTGTATAGAAAGTGGGCCTGAGCCCTGAAGTAACATGGTCTTCATAACTAGGTCATGCTTCAACAAGGGATTGATTTATCATTTTTAACAAGGACACTTGATTTAAACTATTATTTCTTCCCTCATGGCCTTCTTGCATTCCCATCAATCATTTAGTTGAAGTAATGAAATGCTTTTTTATGGAGCTAGACCACAGCAGGCTAAATGCCTGTTCAGTAGCAAGGTAAGAAAATTAAAAAAAAAAAAAAACTAAAAGCGTTCAGGCAGATGTTCAAGCCAAATGAAAAATCTACGGAATCAAGATCAACAAGCTCTTGGTTTTTGCTGGTTCCAACACTGGATGTATATAAGTTCAACAAATAGATCAACTGGGAAAACTCCAAATCCATCAAAAGCCAAATACAGATACTAGCACTGGCAAATCCCAATTCCCTCCCAAGATAAACCTGCAAAGCAGCCAACATACAGCCACAAATGTACTTTCCATGCCATCAACTAGAACAATGGCCAAGGAAAAGCATCTCATCAAAAGCAGCAAGGGGAGAATTCTTCCTACTGCTTAGTAGTTTTACCCTGAGCTTCAAGTTTTGCGGCAACTTGCTCCTCAGATAAAGGTAAATAGTATATACGAGGAGTTGCTTTGGTCTTGCGAAAGAGATCATCCAGAGTAACAATAGGTGGGTCAACTTTTTCTGGAAGGGGTGGTGGGGATGGAAGCCGTTCTCTAGCTGCCGCTGGTGGTTTTGACAAAGGTGGTGGAGGGGGAAGAGTAACAGGAACTGGCCGCTGCTCCTGGTGCCGACGGGGGGAAGGCTCTGGCTGTGAGGTAGGTGGGGTGGGAGGAACTACAGGGCCACTACTGACAGAGGCAGCCTGAACAGGAGGAGCCTCTACCTTCATTTTCACTTCTTCAGGTTCAACAAACTCAGCAACCAAGAGGCGCCCGCCATTAGGCGGCCATTGGAGGTTATACACAGCATTCCGAGTCTCAATGGCTTCGTCCACTGATGAGTACTGCATCAACAGGAAACAACCGCAAATTACTCAACTGTATCATGAAGTAAACCTACAGGGTCAGAAGAGAAATGGAGGGATAAGAAAGAAGAACAAAGTCATACAGTGACATAGCAATGGGTCTTGATCTGATCCATCCAGAAACTGGCAACTTTTCCAGTCTTACCAAGAAGCTCATGCACAGCTTTCAGAGTAAATGGACGAAGGAACCGATCAATTCTTAGGGAATTAGTTGGGGACCTTTGTGGTGGTGGAACTGCCAAAGATCAAAGCTGAACTATTTAGAACGAAGAACAACATCACACATAGGCCTCACAAACATTGCAGCACACAAAACAGAATCAAGTAAATAGGAACAGGTATGACTAATAAAGGAACAAGTGCTTATTCAACTTTGAGTAAAAATATTCAGGAGATGAGCTCAATAAGCATCCAGTTGAAATATGTTAGAATGGTGATAGAAAAGTGTGCTTTGAGATGCATCCAGAATTGAAATACGGAAACATCCAGCTGAAAAATAACATTTGTTAATCTAACAATAGAAAAGTACAATTTGTACAAATTAAACAGAACAAGTCAATCACAATTATCACATCCAACCAACATCTGTTCCCACTAACCAATGCGCTCCTTTGGTGGTTCGTCAACTGCTGAAGAATTAGACAGAGAGAAGTTGCGCTTCAAAACAACCGGTTCATCCTTGGGAGTAGTAGCAGAAGTGAGACCGGTGCTTTGTGGAGCTGGACCTTTGACAACATCAGTGTTCCACCTGCGTAGCCTTTTAGCAGGCTCATTATTGCCAGGTAATGCATGATCTGTGACACAATGTTCAAAATAAAACTAAACCTCTGTACTGAAGAAAAAAATTAAGGAAGTTCGTTTGTCATTTAAATGCCAATAAAGGCATCATCTGAGGTGGCAAAATATGTTCCACATACAGTAACATGATTTCAATTAACACGAGAACAATAGTGTAATTGGGAGACAGGAAAACAGAAAATTTAGCGCTGCTAGCCTCACATGAACCTCCCAAAGCATATATTGAAATCATATATGAATTTGGATGCTCAGAAGCAGAAAACTAAATCAATATAGTATGAAAGTTGAGACCAAGGATTGATCTCCATATGGAATCAAAAGATATTACTCTTCTCAATTAAACATAATACAAAATTAAAATGTAAGACCAAAAAAGAGCAGAAGAACAATGGTCAGAATTTCAGCGTGAATTATAAATTTAAGAACAAAGATCAAGATAAAAAGCTTACCAGTAAATTTTCTTTTTTCAACAGAGGCAGGAGGATGAATATCACTGTCTTGGTGGGTAAAACTTTTTCCTGCAGATACAACACCTCCTACAACTTTACTATCACTTTCCTCCTTCACTTCACTATTCTCCCTCTTGTTTCTAAGTTCCATATCATGTAACTTAGAATCAAATTGCTTACTCTCCGGCAAATCCTCTTCCATGGAATCTTCGCCAGAACTTCTGTCTAAGTTTAACTTTTCTAGATACCCAACATCTTCAATGCCATTGGTCTTGTTTAAGTCTGAACTGGTAATATTATCGCTCTTCTCTTCAGGGGATGTCTTTTTCTCGTGTGGGTCTCCAACATCCATAGGATGTGTCTCATCATAAACAGGGACAAAATTGTTGGATGATGATTCCAACACCTCTGGCCTAACATTATCTTGTTCTAATTTAACATTATCAGCAATTATATTATCCTTTAGTTCATTCTTTTCATTAATTGACACAGAATCACTAGAAATAGAATCAGATTTTACTTGAGACCCTAAACTAGGGTTGACCTCAGATACCTGATTTTTTGGAGCAGAAGAGGGCGCCATAAGATCCATGCTTTGGGGCTCTTTGTCACAATCCAGCTGAGATTTCTGATCTTCATACTCTAGCCGAGCATTTGACACCTCATTCTCCAGCTTGGTTGCCGAATCCCCATTCTCCTTCTGTGTTTCTGTGCTATAAGAATCCTGACCACTAGCCACTACTTCTGTTAAGACACTCCCACTGACAGTAATACTAGGCTCCACAGTAGAACCAGGAATGACTTGCTCCTCATCCCCACTCTTAGATCCTCCACCAGTAGGCAAGCCCTTATGTTCAACTTCTTCTTGATCCATGACTGGCGCACTAACATTGGCATCAATTGGGGTGGAAACACCGTCCAGTTTTTCATTCTCGTTGCAATCAATACCCCCAACCTCAGTAATCTTTTCATTGGTCTCCCTTTCAATTGGCTCAGTTATACCAATATTTCCCCTTGCATCAATTGGGGTGGAAACACCATCCAGTTTTTCATTCTCGTTGCAATCAATATCCACGACCTCAGTAATCTTTTCATTGGTCTCCCTTTCAATTGGCTCAGTTATACCAATATTTCCCCTTCCAGCAGTTTCAACTGCTTCATTACTTCCTGTTTCAATTGTATTAACTACTTCTGCAACTAGAGTCCCAGTCTGTGGCTCTTCTGCCCCACCTACTGGTTGAGGATCAAGATCAGCTCCATCGGCATCATCCTTTTCAGATGCCTCAGCAGCCTCGGCGGCCTCAGCAGCCTCCCTGCTAATGTCTTCATCCAAACGCCTAATCAAATCATCTTTCAAACCTTTAATTGGCAGTTTCCTTCTCTTCAGCTCCTCTTTCAGCTCTGTAACCTTCCACTGATCAATGGGTCGATTGTCAAGAACTGGATATCTTGAGGACATTATATCCAAATACAACTCACCTTCACTAACCTGTAGTCAGAAATAAAATTTCATACACAATCAACTACAGGAAACCAGCCAATGGAAATTTTTTGTTACAAGAACTTAGGCTAAAAAGAGAATATGTAATTTCCTAAATAGAAGACATTGAAATTACCAGGAGATTGTCATCATGAGCATGCAACAAAATCCAGAGAAATCAAATCATCATATACATTATCACAGACACGCCAGACACTCAATGATTAAAACCATTTTTTCAGAAATTGACTTCGACGCTGAACCTAACATTGCTATTGGCAACCCAGTACGTTCTAGAGCAACAATCCAACTAAAGACAGAATGTTCTACATTTACATTCCATTTTTCTTGACAGATTTTTCCAGCTTTCCTTATTCAGATCCACCCCAAGTCAAAGTATGTATTAAAAAGGAAAATATACGCCGGTACACACTGCAAGATGTTGCCAAAATATTAACTAGAGAAACCTAAAACTCATAGTGTGAAAGCGTCAAGAATGAACAGAATAAAACAGATCACTAAACAATTATCATGCAGATGAAAATTTCGCTGCCACTTCGCAGTATCAGGAAATGCATAACATTTAATATGGACAAGATTTGTGTATCGCACAAAGCAATTGTAGACGTAATAACAAAGCATTTTATACAACCAAGAATAAAAAATTAGAAACCAAGATCCTGAGGGGATTGTGGAAATACTTACAATGACAGTTTTGTTGCAAGCGCAAGGGTCACACTTGGCGTATGGAGGGAAAAGAGTAGATATATGAGAAACCCTAATTTCAGAACACAAAACCCATCATAAGCGGAGAAGAAACTGAGACGTAAAAAGAAACCGACGAAGATACACGGTGAGATTAGACTCCCCAAAACAAATGCTCTACTCGACCCCTAACTCGCTTCGTCGCCTGAAAACAGCCAAACAGAAAATCTAAAACAGAGGAGCTACCGAAACATTAACAGAATTAAATGAACAGCCACAGTGATTTGTCGAAAAAAAGGAGAGAAGAAAAATGAAAACAACAAAAGATGGAGAAAGACGGCAATTATTCTCTTCGTTATTGTTTCGGAAGGGAGCACTAAAAAACTGGCTATCTAGGGTTCTTTCTCTCCCCAGGAAATTTTCGCTCCGCTATCACGTACTCTACCCAGAGCGTTTTTTGGGAAAAAAGAATGGCTTGAAAAGCGATAAATGAAATTAAGATTTTGTCAAGCAGAATGTCAAAAATACCATTAGTACACGTGGCAGCAGGGTGATTTCGTTCTCGGGTGCTACGTAATTCATTACTCATGGCCCAAATTCCTTTCGTCAGACAAGGGGGCATTAAAACAAAAACAAAAACAAAAAATTGCACCAACGTCTCCTATAATTTGACGGGGAGAATGACAAGAAAAAATAAATAAAAATATTCTGAAAATATACTAAAGGTAAAAGAAGTAATGTGAAATGTGATAATTATTATATACTCCCTTTAGTCATATTTATAAGTTATTTTTATTAACTTTATCAATACCAATATAATAAAAATATAAAAAATAAAAATAAGTAAAATTCTAAACATAATCCTTAAGTAAAAAATAAAAAGTAAGTCAATCATATAATATTATTTTTATATCTTTCTCTCTCTTACTTTTTTAATAACAATTTAGAAATTTTAATTTAAAATAAAATAATCTCATCAACAAATGACTTATAAAATAGATCAGATTATGCTTCTAAAAAGTGATTGAAGTGGAGGAGTAATTTATATAGACTTGTTTAGTATATTAATTTTTGAGAAAACAACAAGTTTTTCATCAATTTAAAATTTAAAAAAAAATATATGAACAATTGTGACTCTTAGAAAAAAAATGATAACTTCTGTTAAGTAAATGACCAAAATCTAGTCGCAAATTACAAGTACTTTTCTACCATTTTCTTCATTAAAAAAATATTATATACAGAAGACAGTGACTGCTTAAAAATATGAAACGACGACTTCTCTTATCCAAACAACTCGAGCCTAATAATAAATTATATGTAACTTTCTGTTATTTTTAAAATCGGTAAAATGTAGTGACTATTTAAGATAGGAAATGGCAGCTTTGATACAAGTGGCTAAAACCTAATAACAAATTACAAATACTTTTTTACCTTTATGTTAAGGTAAAATGCAATAAATGAGAAACAACTACTACTTAAAAATGACAACTTATCTTGAACAAATGATTAAAACCTAATAGCAAATTTCAAATACTTTTTATCATTTTTTTATCCGTAAAATGCAATACATGCATCATGGTGATTGCTTGAGAATTGGGAATAACAACTTTTCTTGTACAAGTAACAACTTCTATTGTACACATGACAGAAAAATATAGTAAAAAATCTCTTATACTGTGGATGGGAGGGAGTATCATTTATGATTTATGAATAATATAAATGTAAATTTTATAAATAATATGAGATTTATGGTTTAAAAAACAATAATGAGTTGTTATATTTTAATAGATTATAATGATGAAATTGATTTTTAAATAATAATCATGTATTCTGAAATTTGAATAATAAATTAATAAACATTGTTACCAACATAAATTAATAGGCATTAATTTATATAAAACATAAAATTTTTAATAAGTTGTTCTAAAACATACTATTTTTAAAAGTCGAGACATAATTTAGCAAGCTTTGAAGTCTCCCTCATCTTATTTATAAAAAATTAAATATTTAATATTTTTGGATACAATAATTTAATAAAAAAATTCAAGTGTGTATATGTTTGTTTATTCAAATAACTATGTAATTGATTGATGCATTTGAGAAAAAATCAAGATACTAAAAACTGAATCGATTATTAAATGGTCAATGCACTAATTTAAGGATTAATGGTCAAAACTATAATTAAATCGTTATTAAACTAATTAAAAACAAAATATTAAATTAAATAGGTTAAGACACTATTTAATGATTTATAGGTCCAATCAAACGAGTTAATCTCTGTTTCCATACTATGAAAAAATTAGATAGATAAATTTTGTAGGGACAAAAAAAGATAGATGAATTTATTTCAAAACATACTAAGCACACAAGTGCTTTATAATATGCGTAAAAAAAAAAATTAGATCTAAACGCGTGCAAGGGCTTCTGTTATCCAAAATTTAAAGCATGGAGTGATGATTATATGCGAAATGCATGTTGCACAAGCCATTTGTTGCCACCATTGGTTCAAATCTCATTATCAATGTGAGTATTTTATTTATAAAAATAATTTATAAATAATTTTATAAGTATTATTTTAGTTTGAAAGCATGTGCCTTGACCTTAGTGAGTCCCTAAAATCTAATTCCTCTAAACTTTATGTTAATAAAAAAAACCAACATATATAGTAAAATTAGATTAGTTGATATGCACAAATCTTTTTAATTTTTAACTGTAAAGAAATAATTATTAATATTTAAAATGTAACAATAATTCCTTGCAAGTTTCAATTAAAATTATATGTAATTAATTAACTCCTCATTCATAGGTTTCCACTATTGTCATGTGTAACATTCAAAAAATTGTCTCATTAATTAATTAAGCTAATGAAAGGTGATTTTATAAATTTAAATATACTTGAGTTTAAGGATGGTTAGAGACAGCTAACAGACATATCGAGTTTAACTTTTAGCATTGGATTGAGTTTGAAAGTGAATTGGGCCACCTAGGCTCAAATTAAAAAAGAAAAATTAGCATTTAGCCCATTATGTTTTATGCTGCAACATAATGCATTTACACTGCAGCATAATATCAAAAATCAAACTTAAGAAGGCATCTGCATGTACAAAAATAGAAAAGGAAAAAGAGGAAAATGAAGGAGCTCGTGACTCTCTCTACTAGGATATGATTTTGTTGATGTTTTTGGGAGATTTAGAGCTTTTAATCAGTAAGATAAGCCTCCTCTACCATTTCTCTTTCTTTCTACACCATTTTTAAGTTAGGGCTCGTAGTTGGATAATCATTTTCAAACTTTGAGAGCTTTGAATCCAAACCCGTTGACTTAAATAAAGTTAATGAGAGTAATTTGAGTTATCTAAGCCTAGAGATAGTAGTTTATGCATCCATGGAGTGGGTTCTTAATTATGGACGAATTTGTAAATTAAAATGCCATTAGTGATAAAGGTTGGGGTTGTTGGATGCCACTAATGATGGTAGATGGATTTAATGAAGTTAATTAGAATTAATGAGAGTTAATAAATTTAACGTGGTAATTAAACTAAAGAGTTGAGAGTTTTGAGCGATTAAAGTGTTGAAATTTGAGGGTTGAAAATGAGTAATTTGTGACAATAATAATAATTTTGGATTGTTAGATGATATATTAGTGATTATTTAAGTTGTTGAAAGCTAAATAAAGTTAATGAGAGTTAATAAACTTATTAGATGTGAAGTTGATTTTGTAGTTGATAAATTTGATTATTAAAGTATGAAATTAAATGTTGAAAATAGTAATTTTGATGATTATTAGTTATGGATGTTACCTCTCAAGAGTTTGATGTAATTGAGGAAAATCTTACTTTTACTTTTTCATGTTAATTAGCTACTCGGTTTTTATAAACTATTGTTAGAGTATTTGAAAAATCATATATTATGATTTATGAGATATTGAAAATAAATGTGTGTGAACTTTTCAATCGAAAGGTTGTTGTGATATAGAGTAATTTAAGCAAAACTTGTACTTATTTCATGTCTCAAATGAGTAATACGGGATGGTGGTAAATTGATGAGTTATATGGAGTTATGTAAAGAAAATTATAAGTAAGTGTTAAGTTATGTGCTAATTTGTGATGCTAGAAACATATGACAATTGCGTTATGATACTAATTATGATGATTATATGCATGGTATAATCATTTATGGTGAGAGTTCACCTAAGGAGAAAAGTAGTGATAAATCCATGCGGTATTGTCAGCTTGCCATTGGAATCAAAGCTAGCTAGACTACCAATATTTAGAATTAGGAAATAGTCATTATCTCATTATTATATAAGGACTACCCCACTTGTTTTTCAAAAAATTTGAACCTAACTAGTCTTTACCGGTTTATAAGAAGGCTAGTTTAGAGGTGCAACACCTCATAGTTGTTAGTATTGGAGAAAACCACGACTCACAAGTAAATATAGTAGCCTTGGCCAAGTAACTCCTCACAAAATGAAAGGCTTGGGTAGTCTTGTGACAAGGATGAATCTCACTATATAGCCACCAATTTCATATCGAATGTGTCATGAGGGTATAAGGTTAGCATTGATCATACATATCATTATATGGCCACATGGTTATTATTTAAGTCTTACACTTTTTATAAAAGGTACATAATTGTTGGTATTGTGACTCTTGCACGCTAAATAATCTAATGTTACATAATTGTTAGTTTTGTGACTATATGAATTAGGTGATTTAATATGTGAATATATTTCATTTGAATATATCATCTGTATCATTATGATTAATTAACATGCATTAATATATTTTTGACGTATATTGATTATTAAATAGTTGTACTTACATCTCATTTAACATTTTATAGGTGCTAGTTTGGGTCAGGATAAAAGTAAAGCACCAAAGGCTTATGAACCTTGTTTCCTACTATAAGCCTCTTTATTTTGGTTTTTATATGTGTAACTAATTTGATAATGCTAACTAGAAAAATGCATATTTTAATATTTCTTGCACCATGTAATTGTTTATATTGATTGGTCATATCTTGGGCCAAGAATAATGTATTATGATTTGAGAAGTCTGGATACGGCCTAAAATATTGGTGTAAATATGGCTTTTGAGTTTAAGATCATCATAATTGAAGAGTATGAGTTTGATGTTAAAATACCTCTCACTTTGCTTTTGATTAGTTTAAGGTTGAGGGTTAAATTTGTGAAACATATCATATTTGATTGCTATAGTGCGTTACATAGATTGTTCTAAGCCTATTAAACATGATCTAGGTATTAGGTTGTGCTTTTAACACTTAATGTGAATTTTGGACACCTAATTTGTGGTTTAAGAGTAACAATGTATTAGTTTGCATTTGTGGTATCCAATTTGTGATTGGGTTAGAGTTTGGAAATGCAACTAGTTCCATTAGTTAAAATCTTGAAAGAGCTTTCTGTGAACACCTAAATCACCTCAATCAAACAAAGATTGGAGGCATATCAAAAATTTAGTTAGAAAGTCTACTATAACAACATGTGGCTCTCATATGTCCTACATGTTACACCATAGTGTAAAATGTTGTGCGCGCAATGTAATTCCAAACTTCCTTAAAGTATACTTATTGTGCCTTATGTCGCGGTGTATTTGCATTATGCCAAGTGTATTGTGCCAAAAATGTTGTTTTAACTCTTTTGATCCTGAATTAATTTGTTACCTCATGTGATATGATTTTCACGCTTCGGTATATGTTTCTACTATATTTTAAATTAATTTATATTTTATTTCAAAGTTTAAGTTATTAAACTTAGGATCCCAACTTTAAAAGATTTATATTTTCAAATGAAGTTGTTCTTAGATTGTGAAGTGAATATTCTGATACTTGATTTGAAACTTTTTAAACTATAATTGACCTTTGATTTGTCTTTTACTTCTTACTATAGTTCGTCTTCTAATAAGTATTTAAAGTCTACAACCATGATTTGATAATTATATGATTTAATCTATACTTACTATGGAGGTTTTGACTAAATGTTGGGATAATAAGGATAACGTTACATTATGCATCAAGGATTATTGAAGGAGAAATAAGATTCTTCATCATGCTTTGATTTGTTTTAATGCATATTATTATTATTATTATTATTATTATTATTATTATTATTTGATTGACGTACCACAACCTTTTGAGACATAAATAGTAGAAGGAAGACATAATTTATTTAACTTGGGTGAGCCATGAAGCTCCGTTGAAAACAATCATCTGGTCCTTGATATAAAAGTGGAAGATCTTGTCAAACAATGTGCTTTGACAAGGAAATTACGATTCCTCCCACTTGGTCCTCGGATGACATTTTCTGTGCACAATTGAAAAGGAAATATTTTGATTGACTTATAGCTTATTTTGTTGAGAGCAAGATTAATATAAATAGTTATAATGCATATTGACTTGGTAGAAATTTTAGTTTAACATTAATTGACAGAGGTCACATTATTGTGAAAAAAATAGTTGAAAATAATACAAAACAGTTTGAATATATTTAAAGAAAACTAGTGAATATATTGATGAAAAGAATGAAACAAACAATTTTCAGTTATGTAAAGAGAGATAGAGAAAAATTAAAGAGAACATTAAATAAAATTATTGAAAGGAATTTTCTAGTGCCCAAAGATTTGGTAATTGTTAATAGAGTGTAATAACATCATATAATTTATGTAACTGACTCCACCTACTAAAATGTTAATCTCATTTTGTTTAACATACTCATCGTATTAACACAATTTTCAACATTGTTGATACTTGTTGGACTGTAGGAATATTTGTAGAATGAGCATGCCTAATAGCTTAGCACTCTTAGCATTCACCTCTATTTTGAACAACTTGCTCTATTAAAAAAAATAAAATATATAATTATCAATCACCACTATAAAATTGCTCATATGTAACACCATATATTAAATAGTTATATACACAATCGTTCAATAAAAAGAGGTAGAGATATATATTGGACGAATAGAAAAGCAATCGTCCAATATATATTTATATATTGAATGATTTTTTTAAAATCATTTAATATATGTTTAAAATTTTTAATTTATTTTAAAATTTTACAATACTAAATACATATTGGACAGTGATCTGCAAACCGTCCAATATGTATTTAATGAATTAGACCGTTATATTTAATAATCGTCCAATATAATTTCAAAAATCCTGCATCAGATTTATCGGTCGCATAGGTCATTTTCTTCTTCATCCCTTCTCCGTTCCAGTGGTTGTGCGTGGGTAGTTCTCACAGATAGGTAATTTCTTCTTCTTCCCTCGTCGTTCTCGCAGATAGCCGACAAGGGACACGTACGGCTCTTGATTTCTGGTTGTTGTGCGTGGCGGCTCCGTTCCTTTTTGCTAGGGCTTGAAAAGTTAAAGCATTGGGATTATCTTCTGCGGCAGCCTAAGCAGTACATGAATAGGTGAGGAGGTTTTAATTACCCAGGCATCGATAGATTAAATATGTTTTTGATGTATGTTAGGTATCTAATCTCCTACCTACTCTTCTAGTTTATATTAAATAATAGCCTTGTTTTTTTGGAGCCAGTTGGATTTTAGCTTGCACAAAATTGATTGAGTGAAAGAACCTTGAATTTCATTCGTAATATGGCCACAGAAACATCTGTTGGTAAATCTACTATACTTTCGTTTCTTTTTATCTGTGGTTTAAGGTTTATAGATTAAAAATACAATTAGTTATTAGACTTCCTTTTAAATTATTTAGTATTTGTGTCTTCCTTTTTAGAGGTTGCCAAGTAAGCACCGATCATCACTACTCTATTTATGGAATTTGTTAGTTTGAGACGTGCTGTTGAGAGGGGGGCACAGGTAATATTTTTTTTTTTTTAAATTTTGCGTAGCATATGATTGTGGGATTCACATGCATATTTATTGGAAAGAATGCAGAGAAGAAGCTTAGCCATAATTGATAGAAAGTGTACTAAAAGATTATGCAAGCAAAAGAGTCATATGTTCTAATTGTGTTGAGTTTTCATGAATATGTTTTTAAATTGCTTTTTATGACTTGAAATTGAGCTATAAGAATGTTGAGTCATCTGATGCAGAGCTCTGAAATAAAGGTGATATGCATATTTGGATCATTGGAATTTTGTCTTTTAGTATTGGAATTTTGAGGAGACTTGTGAATCTTATGCTTCTGCAAGCTAATTTTTTATTTGGCTTAGGAATTAGTTGAAGTTGTATGTAAATATTGGGCTAGAACTCATGCCATTAAATTGAGCTGGAAACAAAACTTGGTCTTATGGTTTTATCTTAAAATCATACTTTTTGAAGATTTTGTGTATACTTGTGTTGATTTACTTTGGAAATCAAACTTCTGAGACATAGTGGAATCATATAGAAAATCATTCGTGAAGACCTTGGAAATGTTAGTTACTCTGCTATTGGAGCGCTTTCAAACGAGATTCAGGAGCTTAGGGAATCAATAGAAATGCCTTTAATGAATCCTTGGCTATTTCTAGTGGCTGGCATCAAACCACCCAAGTGATGGTGATGCTGGATGAATAGCATAGTACACGGTTAAAGAATAAGAATTGATTTTTATGTAGGGTGTTCTTCTTTATGGACCTCTTGGAATTGGAAAGACATTAATAACTAGAGCAATAGCAAGCAATATAGATGCTAACCTTTTGAAGTTTTTGACTTTGTTCTCTTTGCTGTGTATGTACAAAATGCTTTATATGTGGCCTTCTAATAAAACTTGTACTGTCAATTGAAAATTTATTGCCACTGTCATTGGATATGCACACAATTATCAGATAAAAACTCTCATCGAATTAAACATGCTTCATTAGATGCCTCTATTAAATTGACTTTAAATTATACGATCTTTTTTGTTTAGCCTTGCATCATTTTTATGGATGAGATTGATATCACTTGTGGACGCTGATTCAGTGAGGGAACAGGTGCCTTGGAACTAGTAAGCTCTAAAGAACAAGCCCTTGGGTGTCTTGGAGACTTTGATGATGCTGTTGGTTTTCTCATCCATAAATGCTGTGATATTAGAAAAGTTCTTATGGCAAAGTCTATTTGCAATTCACAATGCTACGGTCATTTTTTACGGTCTTTATTGTCTTTTGTATATAATTTTAATTTATCAAATTAACATGTCCAAAAATGTTCAGATTTTTCTTTATCATTAATGCTCCATGTATATGGGTGTTGTATTATTGGAGCTCCAATTCAAAAAAATACCCCACAACTTTATAAAATAAAAATTTATAGTAGTATATTAACTCAAAATTTATAATAAATAATCAAGTAAAGTCTCCATAAATATTACCAATCCAAAAAAAAATGCCCTTATTTTTTTTTAAAGAATGTCACCCTATATTGGACGATTATTGCTTCAACTGTCCAATATTTGGTCCTCTAATCCAAAAAAATGGCCATTTTTTTTAAATGTCACTTAATATTGAATAGTTATTACTACAACTGTCCAATATTGGGCTCCAAGTATTGAATGGTTCTTATAACCATTTAATATTTGTTTTGCAAATATATGATGGTAGCATGTTGGGCGGTTCAAAATTGTCCAACATGAGTTAAAAGAACCATCCAATATGTTCTATTTTATAGTAGTGAGTTTTTATATTTTCAACGTGTTTTGGTATTATTTTTCTATATTTGTTGTTGCTTCAAATGATCCCTTAAGTTTCATCTTTTTACAATGTTACTTCTTAACGACTATCATGAATTCAAGTTAAATGGGGCAACACAAATATTATTATATTCAGTATAGTAGCTACTGATAAGGCTGAAGCATTAATTACAAAAGCATTAAATAAGCAGTATAGAAAAGGGAAAATACAGAGAAGAAAGGTTCAGAAGAGGAAGAAAGCAAACAGAAAGAAAGGTTCACAAAATAATCCACACCATGTTGCTTCGTCCTCTTCCTCTTTATAGTTAAAGAGTTGCTCACACCATTCACGCATCTCTTCTTTCATCCAATCATTTCTCCTAACAAGCTTTGCCACACCATCCCTTAATATGTTCACACTTCATATCATGACATCAACACCGACGGAGTTAATTCTATTGATTTGTACATACTTACGTTAATTTTATTGCTAAATTAGTAAAAATAGGGTGAGTTAGACATTTTGTGAGCAAAACGACTATTAATTAACTTTTTTTCTATCTATCTACGTTTACTTTCTTCTCACTTCTTCCATTGCGCACATAAGAATTTGATTTGATGTCAATTTTTTTTTTTTTGGCCTTCTACTTATTTTTATACAATTTATTGTAATTTCAACAAGTTAGCATCAGAAGTAACATACTTTATGTACAAGTTAAACACTGTTAACCCCTTATGGTCATATTTAAAATATAAGGACTAATAATGCAAACAGGTGAAATTTAAGAAACTTGGAATAACAAAAAAAAATAATCCTAAAACATGTTAAAAAATATAGAAATTAAAGTTATATTGTTCCTAAGAAAACAAAGGAGAGAAAGTAGTGAGAAAAGAGTGCCCAGTTAGCGGCAATCCAAATGATGAGAATTTAGAAACGGGTGAAGGTGAAGCTGAATATCAGGAAATAAGGATAGGCGTGGCCGGGTGGAAACAAAAAGGGGATCTGAACACTCATCCAAGATTTGAGAACAAGTGATGCAGACACTAACTAAAGAGAGTAGGGGTGTTCATCGGAACGGGATTGGGATACCTCCATCTCATATCTTGTTCCCAAAAAAAGATCGAGATTGAATTTTCATTCCGTGTCCCGTCTCGTCCCAAAAGTCGTCTCGTCTCGTTAAGAGTCGGGACGGGACAGGGACAAGATCGGGACGTCCCGCCATCCCGATAAATGAAATAATATCGAAAAAAGATCTGAATAATAATATTTATTAAAATTTTAAATCATATAATTTATTAATTTTAAAATCAAAACAACACAAGTACATAAATAATAATAATTTAAAATTAATTATTGAATTATATTAATTACAACTACACATTATAATAACAAATACAAGTGATCTTTATGCTATAAGATTAGCAACAACAGACAAGTCAAACACAACATCAAATCATTGTTTTTCTACTTTAGTGAAGATGTGCTAAGCTAGTTACTCTTCTAAAAATAAAGCAAGAAATACGTTATAAATAAAAGTTATTAAATAGATAGATATAAAAATAAATTATATTAATATAATTAATATATTATAAAGAAAGATATTGCCATGTTTACTCCATGCCATTAAAATTATCAATATAAAAAAATTTAGTTTTAAATAAGAATTGCAAGTATTAAATTATAATTGATATAATTAATATAAGTATAAATTATATTAATATAATTAATATATTTAAAATAAAAAATAATATATATAATATTCGAGACGGGACGGGACGTCCCGATGATAATCCCGTGTTACGTTCCACCCCAAACTCCTTTCCTATCTCGTCCCGTAAAGTCCTGTCTCGATTATTTTCGAGTCGAGATAAGACCCATCCTGATATGATCGGGATGATATCGGGCCAATAAGTATGGGTTCACACTGAGCACCCCTAAAAGAGAGCCATGTATGGCCCACATGAAGTTGTCTCTTTCTTCTATTTAATTTGTTGCACATCCCAAAGGTCTCTCGTGCACACCAATACTCTTATCTACTTATAATTATTTCGCTTGATATTATTTGAAATAGAAATATTTTTTTGATTTATTCTTATTCATTACATCATTTTTAAAAGTAATTTTTAAAAGATTAGAAAGAACGAAAGTAATTAATTATTCATCTTTTTATACAAGATAATTGATTTTTTTTTAAGGTAACTTATATATTCAGACTGCATGGAATATTCCCAGATAAAACGCACCTTGCCGCCTCATGCATGAATAGAACCAACTCAATGCATGATAAACTGATAGGAGCCGTTATCTAGCAATTTACATGCAATAAAGGGAGAATCTCATTTTAAGTCCTTTCTCACCTACGTCAGTTAAGCCTGTGGACTATAATAATGTAAATTTTTTTAAAAACTTTGGGCATGATCTAATCCTAATACAATTTGGTTTAAATAGAATTTCGCTCCATGCAAAAAGGAAATATTGGATGATAAAACTTTTAATTTAGACCCTTAAATTCACCTCATTTATTAATTTGGTCTCACAAATCTATTTATTTTTGGATGTAGTCCCTTATATTTTTTTTAAAATTCTTATAGTTTTTTGTAAGTTTTAAAACACGAGTTACAGTTCCTATCTAATTTGTCCTTTTAGAATGGGATAAAAAATTCCTCACTAAATTCTCTCTATAAATTATATTTTTCTAGTAGCATACGTCGAGTCAACTTATAAAGCGTATGCCATCCATGAAATGGTGAAAGTGCGAGTGTGATTGTTGCGTAGTGTGTGCCTTGTAAAATTTAACGTTATTTTATTTATTTTGTAAATCAATTGCCCTTCTTTTTGGACCCAAAGCTTGCGCAGAGGGTCAATTCAAGCAAAAGACATCATCAAGTGGAGAGTTTAATTGGAGTAGCACATCTGTTAAAAGTAACACAAGTGTCTTAAAATTAGCTCAATGAAAACAGAAATTTCACATGAAACAAAAGAATTAAATTGGATTTTTTTTATAAATATCAATAAGTTTTCTAACAGCCACTAATCATTGTGTACAAAGGATTGGAGGCCACAATACATATACATATATATAAAAATATATATAAAAATAGTGATGAAGGATCACTAAAAAAAATTTATATAAATTAAAAATTAATTATTGTCAAAATTTAAATGAAAAAAGCTTGAATTGACAATTGTTAATTTAAATAAATTATTATTAAAATTTAAATAGATATTTATTGATGAAAGATTAAATAAAAATGATAAATATGTATTTAAATTTAAATAATAAATAATCATTAATTAATATAAATTTTTTTTTAACGGTGATTGATTGATATTTTTCTCGCACACACATATATATCCTTTTCATAATGTGGGGACCAATCCGTCTTAACCTGCATACGACTGTGAGAGTATCCCATGGTTTATGTTTTGATTATCTCCGCAAAAGCATGCAACGAGACAAATATACACTTGACGTGTCGAATCATCCTAGCTATGATTCCTATGATGTGGGTCTTATTCTTTTCACCCGATGCTACATTATACGGGCCATTATATCACTCCAATTATATCACTAAAAATATACGTTTTAAATTTATTTTTTAATTAAACTTTAATTATAATCAAGGATATATAACAACTAAATCTCACCTTTTTTTTAAAAAAAAGTTAAACTTAATTAAACCATATATATATATATATAGAGAGAGAGAGCAAACATTATCTGCCATAGACATGAGACAGTTTCTCAATCCAAATCGCAAGGGTTGAAATATCAACTTCTTGGAGTCAGCCTTGTAGCCATAAGATGCGAAGACGGCTCTTTGATTTTTTTTTAATATAAAAATATTCGTTCAACTGTCCATTATATCACTCCAATTATATCACTAAAAATATACGTTTTAAATTTATTTTTTAATTAAACTTTAATTATAATCAAGGATATATAACAACTAAATCTCACCTTTTTTTTTTAAAAAAAAGTTAAACTTAATTAAACCATATATATATATATATAGAGAGAGAGAGCAAACATTATCTGCCATAGACATGAGACAGTTTCTCAATCCAAATCGCAAGGGTTGAAATATCAACTTCTTGGAGTCAGCCTTGTAGCCATAAGATGCGAAGACGGCTCTTTGATTTTTTTTTAATATAAAAATATTCGTTCAACTGTGGAACAATAATAAAGGTACAGAGTCTCAAATTCTCTATCATCGTTGTCATAACAGCACATGCTTGCTGGTCTAAATAATAATAATATTAACAATAATAATTATAATATGTAAACTAATCGTGTAGTCTGCTTGTTTAAAGCTAATGCCATTAACAAAATCCTGTTATTAATCGGGATATGACAATTTTAAAGTGGTTGTTATCGAACAAAATCAATTATCACTATTCACTATATGACTTTTAATTTCTTTGAACATACTAAGTAACAAGGGGATTTCTTTGGTGAAAATTGTGCGCGCGCGCGCGCACTGCTTTAGCCAACTAAGCATACATTTATAGATTATTATTCTTTATGGTCTTTTGGCTGCTCGTGTTTCAATCATGAACACTCCTTGTCTCTTTCGAGTACTCAATTATTATTGACTGTTGTATGGTTATGATCTTATTTAAAGTTGTGTTTATATTAATGAGAATTTGAATGTGGATTAAAATTGCTATTTGGACTCATGAAAATTTATAGATTTGGATCAATACATTTTTTAGGATAATTTCTTTATAATTTTAATTTTTTTATATTATAGTTATTTAAAATGCTAGCCATTCTTACTCTTATTCTTTTCACATTTTTACTGTTAGCATTTTTATTATTCACACATCTTCTTTTATTCCTTGTTCTCTTGTATCACCAAGTAAAAAATATAGGTAGTTTCATTGCTCTCAATCTTCTGCTTTTGCTTTGAGATTTTAAATGTAAAATCTAAATAAAAATTCATCAATTCAAACATAATCTTTTTTTTTTGTTGATAAAATTCAAACATAATCTAAATTATTTTGAAACCATTACCCTAACGTATCACCAATTTTAAATTTAAATATTATGTTTAAGGGAATGAAATAAATGTTAAATGATGTTTGAAGCAAGACACGTGCTTCATGATTTATATGTATATTCATTTTTTTTTTTTCCTGAAAACATATTGTCTGCTATACAATGTCATTTATGTATGACGATTGATGACACTGATACATTAATTTGATATTCTTTTTGATTTTATTTATAAGTTATTGTTAATATTTTTATTATAATTATTAAAAACTTTAAATTTCATTAACTTTACTTAAAAATTTAACAAATTTTTAACTTTACTCCTATTAAATATATATATTTTAATAATAAAATACTTTCACATTTAATAATATTTTTAAGATTTAATAGGGGCAAAAAGATAAAGATTGACACAATAATCATTGAGATGCTTCATTAAAAGAATGAAAACAAATACTCTTTCTATTCTATAAATAGGACCAAAGGAGTAATTTGATTTTTTTTTTCTGATAATGATGTTTTAATAAGATAGTTTTATTCCCTCTCTATTTTGTATGAAAATTTATGATAATTAATTTTGAAAAAAAACATAACTTTTGATCCTTATAACTTTATCTTATTTTATTATTGATTTCAATGTCACTTTACTTTTTTTAATATTTTGAGTCCCTTTAACTTTTTCTATACACAGTATTAATCCCTCTACTTTTAAATACTTTTAAAGGGATGATAATATAGCATCAATGATATTAAATTATTTGATATGTAATTAAAGATATTAAATCTTTTGCTGAATATTAAATAAATAAGGATGAGGTGACCATCTAATCAGTAAATGAAAAAAGGAGGGGGGAAGGCAAATGACAAAAACACCATATGCAGAACTTACAGGCCATTTAACTTGGCTAAAAAAATTGATTAGGACATTTAATATATGAAAATAAAAGGCTTGACACATAATATAAAGTAACTAAAAGCTTAAGGGTATGTTTAGTTAGAGGGTTCGGAAGAGGGAAAATTATCCCCACCCCTTATTTGATAGAAAATTTTTGGAGAAGAGGTCCCTCCAATTTAGGAGTTTTTTGAAGGAAAGCTAAATTTTTTGACTATATTGTCATCTATTTTTTTATTTATATTTCATAAATGTTCTTGTGTTAAAAAAAACAAAAATCCTTCTCTTCTAACATGTGACTGGTTTTCACTTTTAGCCACCACCATTGAACTCATAAAAAATGGTTGCCACACCACTGCTCAGCAAGCCACATGTGAAACAGCCACAACCTTCTCCCACTAAACCCACTTTGTTATGTTGTTGAGATTGAACGAAGGTGAAACCCACCTTATTACTGTCATTCATCAGCCAATTGGATCTCCATCCTCGCATTAGCAGCTATGTGGGGGGTTTTCTTACGGTAATAAATCAATTAATCCCAAGGCAAGCTTACTCCCTTATTTCTTTGTTTCGTTTGCTTAATAATATAAAACTAATATTTAATCAATATCAATATATAATAATTAATATAAAATTTATTAATAATTCAAAAATTTAAAAATTATAATTTAATTAAGGTGAAAAAATATTTTATAAGAGGAACAATTTTTAAAAAATAAGTTAATACATAGGGATATAATGATAAATTAATTACTATCTCCCCCTCCCCTCCCTCATAACAAAACCAAACAAAGTATTATTAAAATTCTCCCTTCTCCTTCTTGAATCAAACACAACCTTAAAATCACCTCTTGATGTTGACAAACATTATTGTCAGAATAGTTTTCATCAGAAAGTAATTATTAACTCATTTATTTTGATTTAAACATATCAAAATTTTCATTAACATTGTTAGTCATTCGTCAAATAATTTAATACAATTAATGCCACATTATCATCTTTCTAGAAATATTCAAAAAATAGAAGGACTAACATTTATACTGAAAAAATAGAGGGACTTGAAAGGAAAAAAAATACAAAAATCAATAATAAAACATGATAAAACTATGAGGATTAATAATTATATTTTTTTTAATTTTTTGCCTATGAGAATTTATGGTACGAATCAATTTCTAGATTGCTATTTTAATAGAAGTAGTTTTTTTTAAAAAAAAAGAAAAGTACAGTAGTTTCAATATATAAAATAAATTTATATGAAATTATGCTTATAATAAAATTTATTAAATATACTTTACAACTTTTTTAAATAAAAATATATTTTTTTTAAAATACCATTCATTTAATATAACCTTAAATGATTAAAGAAGATAGAAAATAATAAGGAGGAAATGATATCATAAAAAAAGTATAATATTTAATAAAACTTAGTTTTTTTTATCAACTTATCTTATATTTTGAGACTCTAGATAACCTTCAATCAAAATTATCTTATAATTTAAAAATTAGAATAGAATGATGAAGGTATTATTTTGCAAAAGTGAATCATGGCCAGAGACAAAATATAATTGCAGGCAAAAAATTTAAATTGCTACTGTTCCTATTTAACATCAGATTGTTACCGACTTACAGTTTGATTAACTTTATTACAGCTGGCCAAAAAATACAATTTTTTTTTTTTTACATATGATAAAACTGTTATTAAAGTCTTTTTTTCCATCTGCTAGCGTAAACTTTACATCGAGCCGAAGCCGAGCTGTTTAGCTTCGAGCTTCGACTTGTCGTCGTTGTCGGTGGTTCTTACTGTGGAGTGACGGCTACGACTGTGAAGCGCCCGACGTTTCCTTTCGTCCCCTCACTGAGACTCTGCACTAAAGAAAATGAAAAAGTAACAGTCAAATAAGGAAAATACAAAGAATAAGCAAATCGAAGCTCACTATTTCTCCTACCCAGGCGAACATCCTGATCTTGTCATCTCTCTCTTCCTTTATCTTCTGCTTCTTCGGGTTCCCTTCTCTTGCACGAAACCATTTGATGCATTTTAGCGCTTCTTCATTTCTCTGCGTCTGAAGGTCTTGCTCCTTCTCTCTTCTCATTCGTTTCTTTTAGCTCCTTGCATTGATTAAAATTGATGTACCCTGTGAGTTTCATGCATTTATGTCCCTGATTCGTGCATTCCTGGCATAAATTGGATAGTGTTTTCATCTTCCATTAACTAAACAGAATGGGGTTTTGACTTTGATTTTTCGGTAATTGATCTACTATCTTTTCTCCAAAACTCGTTGACTGTCACTGCAATTTGTACGGAGGTTCCATTTTTGGGCGATTTGGTTGCATTTCGCTCTATTTGTTTGCTGAGGAAACCTAGATGCAAACTTATAGTCCTCAATTTCGTCATCATTGAAGTGTCAATTCAGAGGCTAATTTGTATTGCTTATGGTGATAATAAGATAAATGATTTTGGAATATTCGTGGAATGCTGCAGCAATTTATCCGTTCTTTTTGGTTTTCTTCTCGTGGGCTAGGTCGATCATCAGCATTTAAATTGTGAAAGTATTAGCGCAGGATCGGGTTGTTGCATTATAAATATCCCCCCAATCCCCAGTTATCATTGAGATTTGCAGTTGGCTTTGATTTTTATTCGTTGAAGTTATAATTACTCGGCAGGGGGCTTTGATGTTCTGGCTGTCTCTCCAGTATAGATCTGGAGGGGAGCTGGGTGCTGAATCGATCTACTTGGGTGTCTTGACGTGAACTGAATATGACGACTACACTTGCCTGGAGGTTTGGTTCCAACAATGGTGGCAGCCTTGCTGCTAATGATATGGTGCATTTTCAAATCAATGTTAATTTTTCATTCGTTGCCAGTATTCCAACATAAATAATAATCTTATGCAATCATAACCAGCCAATTGGATAAAATGATTGTTAGACTTGTATTAGCGTGTAATATTTCATAAATCACTTTCAATTGGTGCATCTAGAATTTTGAAAATTGATATAAAATTTAAGTTGCTACTGTCTTGTCTGAGCCAAGATATTGTCAACGCTCTCCTCTTGCACTACTACCTAGAGTATCTAGAAAGTTTAATGTGGCACATAAAGAAGTTACAACTTTCTGCTGTCTGTTTCTTCCCTTTATCACTAAAAACACGTTACACTTACACTTCATACTTAAGACACGTACAAGTTAAATCCAGAAAATCTCTTGAGTATTCAAATTTACTTGGCTGATGCTATATTAATGTAGTGACCTTTTATGCTGCATGAATACTGCCATAGATACACTCATCTTGGTATTAAACATTTGATGCAGGCAAAGCTAGAAAAAAGGAAAAGAAAAGGATAGTTATTGAATAGTCTTTCTGTTTTATCAATGCGGTAATCAAAAGTTATAACTATCCTATTGGTTAGTTAATATTTCTGCTCTCTAGAAGAAAGTATAGTTGTCGAGAGTACAGTTCTTTGCTGACACAATATAGTATGTCCCTACAATATTATATTCCTTTCCAATTTTCCATCTGTTTGGCTCAACAGACGCAATGGGTCAGTTGGAATTAAATCTGTTAGTAATTTGGTTCTTACATTTTACTGAGAAGGAATATAATCAAGCTGTGGTATATTGTTATTGGATCTCATTTTTTCCTTTTTTTCCTTTTTCATAGAACTTAGTTTTCCCAAGCTTCTTGTTTTTAAGAAGCAAGTGTAAAGTTCACACTGGAATGAAATGAGCAATTAAAAATTTGAAAGAGTAAAAATGCCACCAATGCCCTTAGAATGATTTATATTTATGGAGTATCAAATTTGTTAGTCCCTGGTTTTTTGTTATTTTTGTTCTTTTCTGACGTGGCCATGCCAGTTGTCATTCTTCAGTCTTCACTATTGATCTATTGATTGCAGGAAAGAAATGGCGAGGGTAATATTCCAGATTCAGAGCCCCCTACTCCACATTCTGTTTTGAAGATGGGATTGAGGTTAGCTAAATCATAATATTTCCTAGATATTTTGCAATACAGGAACAATTTACTACCTGACATGATTATAGACTCAAAATTCTCATCTGTTTCAAAATCTAAACATAAAAAGGAATTGTGTTTACATAAAAATACTCATATCATGCAATATCTAAAGCGGGGGCCTCTTTGATAATTTGGTATATTTGTCATCTGAATCAAGAATTCCTTTCCCCTGAATTGATTATCTAAATTTCATGGCAATGGAAATTTGAAATTTGAGTAGAAATCTGACTTCAGCTGTCCAACTCAAGCTCCTTACATCCTTAACTGGTTGCAGAGAGCGCAGCAGCAGCATGGAGGATCCAGATGGGACATTAGCAAGTGTTGCCCAATGCATCGAGCAGCTGCGACAGAGCTCATCCTCTGCACAAGAGAAGGAATACTCCTTAAGGCAGTTATCGGAGCTTATTGATGTGCGTGAAAATGCATTTAGCGCTGTTGGATCTCATTCTCAGGCAGTGCCAGTGCTTGTTTCTCTTCTCCGATCAGGTTCAGTGAGTGTGAAGATTGAGGCAGCGACTGTTTTGGGCTCCCTTTGTAAAGAAAATGAGCTAAGAGTGAAAGTGTTACTTGGAGGATGCATTCCTCCATTGCTTGGTCTACTTAAATCCAGTTCAGCTGATGGTCAAGTAGCTGCTGCGAAGACTATTTACGCTGTCTCTCAAGGTGGCTCAAAAGACCACGTTGGATCAAAAATTTTTTCAACTGAGGGAGTGGTACCTGTGCTGTGGGAGCAGCTTCAGAAAGGGCTGAAGACTGGAAATGTAGTTGATGGTTTATTGACCGGAGCCTTGAAAAATCTCTCTAGCAATACGGAGGGATTCTGGAATGCAACAATACAAGCTGGAGGAGTGGACGTGTTAATGAAGTTATTGACAGCAGGTCATCCTAGCACTTTAGCTAATGTGTGCTTCCTACTTGCCAGCATGATGATTGAGGATGCGTCTGTTTGTTCTAAGGTGTTGGCTTCAGAGGCGACAAAACAGCTCCTAAAATTATTGGGCCCTGGTAATGACGCCCCTATTAGAGCTGAAGCAGCCGGTGCTCTGAAATCCTTGTCTTCTCAGTGCAAAGAAGCAAGGCGGGAGATAGCTAATTCTAATGGCATTCCTGCTCTGATCAATGCTACCATAGCTCCTTCGAAAGAGTTCATGCAGGGCGAGCATGCTCAAGCATTGCAGGAAAATGCCATGTGCGCGCTGGCTAACATCTCTGGTGGTTTGTCTTATGTCATCTCCAGCCTTGGTCAAAGCCTTGAATCGTGCACCTCAGCTACTCAAATTGCTGACACATTGGGGGCTTTAGCTTCAGCTCTTATGATATATGATAGCAAGGCTGAAGCTACTAGAACATCAGATCCGTTGGTAGTGGAGCAAACATTGCTCAAGCAATTCAAACCTCAATCACCTTTTCTTGTGAAGGAACGAACCATTGAAGCCCTGGCTAGTTTGTATGGCAATCCCGTACTGTCAGTTAAGCTTGCAAATTCAGATGCAAAACACCTGCTTGTCGGATTAATAACGATGGCTGTCAATGAAGTGCAAGATGATCTTTTAAGATCTCTCCTTACATTGTGCAGCAATGAAGGCAGTCTGTGGCGTGCCCTTCAGGGCCGTGAAGGAGTTCAGCTGTTGATATCCCTTCTCGGGCTTTCATCAGAACAACAGCAAGAATGTGCAGTCGCTCTGCTATGCCTTCTATCTAATGAAAATGATGAAAGTAAATGGGCCATTACTGCTGCCGGTGGTATACCTCCTTTAGTTCAAATTTTGGAGACAGGATCCACAAAAGCAAAAGAAGACTCGGCAAAAATCCTTACAAACCTGTGCAATCACAGCGAAGATATACGTGCTTGTGTGGAGAGTGCTAATGCTGTTCCTGCATTGTTGTGGCTATTGAAGAATGGAAGCCCAAATGGGAAGGAGATAGCAGCAAAAACCTTAAATCACTTGATTCATAAATCTGATACTACCACAATCAGTCAGCTTACAGCCTTATTGACAAGCGATCTGCCTGAATCGAAGGTCTATGTTTTGGATGCTTTGAAGAGCATGCTGTCAGTTGCCCCTCTCGGTGACATTCAACGAGAAGGTAGTGCTGCAAGTGATGCAATTGATACAATGATAAAATTAATGAGCTCTACGAAAGAAGAAACTCAAGCTAAGTCAGCATCAGCTCTGGCAGGCATCTTTGAAATGAGGAAAGATGTGCGTGAAAGCAGTATTGCTGTTAAAACTCTTTTGTCAGCCATGAAGTTGCTTAATGTTGAATCTGAAAGTATCCAAATAGAGTCTTCAAGGTGCCTTGCAGCAATATTTCTTTCCATCAAAGAGAACAGGGATGTAGCTTCTGTTGGTAGAGATGCATTTCTCCACCTAATTACACTAGCAAATTCTTCTGATTTGGATGTTGTAGAGTTGGCAACATGTGCTGTGGCTAATCTTATTTTAGATAGTGAGATTTCAGAGAAGGCTGTTGCTGAGGAAGTTATCATGCCGGCTACCAGAGTATTACGTGAAGGCACAATTTCTGGAAAAGTTCATGCAGCAGCAGCAATTGCTCGCCTCATACATTCTCGACAAGTTGATTATTCTATAACTGAATGTGTGAATCGTGCTGGGACTGTGCTTGCTTTGGTTTCCTTCCTGGATTCTGCTATTAATGGATCAGTTTCTACCTCTGAGGCTATAGAAGCACTTGCTGTTCTGTCCAGGTTGGACCAGAATAGTGAACATGTTAAACCAGCATGGGCTGTATTGGCTGAATTCCCTGAAAGCATAAACCCAATAGTGCTGTCTATCGCTGAATCAACACCAATGTTTCAGGATAAAGCTATCGAGATATTATCCCAGTTATGCAGGGATCAGCCCGTTGTTCTTGGAAACAATGTTGTTTCAGCCAATGGATGCTTGAGTTCGTTGGCTAAAAGGGTAATTGGTACTAAAAATGTAAAGGTCAAAATTGGGGGAGCTGCACTTATTAGTTGTGCTGCCAAAGTAAGCCACCAGAGAGTGTTGGAGGAACTCAACCAATCAAACTTGTGTGTTGATCTTGTTCAATCTCTTGTTAATATGCTTTCTTCTGCATTGCCTTTGTCATACCAAGGTGAAGGAAACAAGGAATTCATTAGCATTTTCATACATAGAAAAGAAGACGCCAATGGTTGTAAATCCAGCACTGGCACCATTATATCTGATGCTAAGCTAGCTATATGGTTATTATCTATTCTTGCTTGTCATGATGAACAATGTAAAATTGCAATAATGGAGGCTGGAGCAATTGACATTCTCACTGAAAAAATATCAGACTGTTACTCGCAATATAGCCAGGTATTAAAGAAGGCCATTTTATTTTGCAGTCAATCAGAAAGAAATATGACATGTATTAGGCTCTGGTTGGTCCAGAAATTTGCATATTTGCACATAAAAACAACCTTACCTGTCAAACATTGTTTCTAAGTAATGTCTCATCTCTCTGGCATGCACGAATGTTATTGGTTAGAAATTCATTTGTGATTATTGTTATATATATATATATATATGAACCTTTGTCCTTTTGGTGTCATTGCAGATTGATTATAAAGAAGATAGTAGCATGTGGATTTGTGCATTATTGTTGGCTGTATTATTTCAAGATAGAGATATCATCAGAGCACATGCTACCATGAAATCTGTACCAGCTATTGCCAGTTTATTGAGGTCAGAGGAATTAGATAACAGATATTTTGCGGCACAATCAATAGCTAGCCTAGTCTGTAATGGAAGTAGGGGTACACTACTGTCTGTTGCAAACTCAGGGGCTGCAAGTGGGCTAATCTCCCTACTTGGCTGTGCTGATGTTGATATACAGGACCTTCTGGACCTGTCAGAGGAGTTCTCCTTGGTTCGTTATCCTGATCAAGTTGCTCTTGAGAGGTTGTTCAGAGTTGATGACATTAGGGTTGGTGCCACTTCACGGAAGGCAATACCTGCCCTTGTTGATCTGCTCAAACCAATTCCAGATCGCCCAGGAGCACCGTTTTTAGCTCTTGGGCTTCTAACTCAGCTCGCCAGAGATTGCCCATCCAATAAGATTGTAATGGTAGAATCTGGGGCCTTGGAGGCACTTACGAAGTATCTTTCACTGGGTCCCCAAGATGCAACCGAAGAAGCTGCTACTGATCTGTTAGGAATTCTGTTTGACTGTGCTGATATCCGGAGACATGAGGCAGCGTTTGGTGCTGTTACTCAACTTGTAGCTGTCTTACGTTTAGGGGGGAGAGGTGCGAGGTACAGTGCTGCCAAAGCCCTGGAAAACTTGTTCTCTGCTGATCAGATTAGGAATGCAGAAACATCTCGACAAGCTGTTCAACCCTTGGTGGAGATTCTTAATACTGGTTTGGAGAAGGAGCAGCATGCTGCAATAGCTACGCTCATTAGGCTCCTAAGTGAAAATCCATCTAGAGCGCTAGCAGTTGTTGATGTTGAAATGAATGCAGTTGATGTGCTTTGTAGGATCCTTTCATCGAATTGTTCATTGGACCTCAAAGGGGATGCTGCGGAATTATGTTGTGTCCTGTTTGGAAATACACGGATTAGGTCCTCAATGGCTGCTGCACGCTGTGTTGAACCTCTAGTTTCTCTCCTTGTAAGTGAGATTAGTGCTGCTCAGCATTCGGTTGTCCGCGCACTGGATAGGCTTGTTGATGACGAGCAATTGGCTGAACTAGTTGCTGCTCATGGTGCCATTATTCCTCTTGTTGGTCTTCTCTATGGCAGGAACTTTTTGCTCCATGAGGCTATTTCTAGAACTCTGGTTAAACTAGGGAAAGACAGACCTGCTTGTAAAATGGAAATGGTCAAAGCTGGAGTTATTGAAAGCATACTTGACATTCTTCATGAAGCACCTGATTATCTATGCGCTGCATTTGCTGAATTGCTGCGTATATTGACTAACAATGCTAGCATAGCTAAAGGGCAGTCTGCTTCTAAAGTGGTTGAACCCCTATTTTTGTTGCTGACAAGACATGAATTTGGGCCTGACGGACAGCACAGTGCATTGCAGGTTTTGGTTAATATCTTGGAACATCCACTATGTCGTGCTGATTATACGTTGACATCTCACCAAGCTATTGAACCACTTATCCCCTTGCTTGATTCTCCGATACCGGCAGTGCAGCAGTTGGCTGCTGAGCTTCTCTCACATCTACTTTTGGAAGAACACCTTCAGAAAGATCCAGCTACACAGCTGGTAATTGGTCCTCTTATTCGAGTTCTTGGCTCTGGTATCCACATATTGCAGCAGAGAGCTGTGAAAGCCCTAGTTAGTCTTGCACTGATATGGCCAAATGAAATTGCAAAAGAGGGTGGTGTTGTTGAACTTTCGAAAGTAATATTGCATGCTGACCCTTCACTTCCGCATGCTTTATGGGAATCTGCTGCTTCTGTTTTGTCAAGTATTCTGCAGTTCAGTTCTGAATTCTACTTGGAAGTGCCTATTGCTGTGTTGGTAAGATTGCTTCGTGCTGGTTCAGAGAGCACAGTTATTGGTGCATTAAATGCTCTTCTAGTGTTGGAAAGTGATGATGGCACTAGTGCAGAAGCAATGGCTGAAAGTGGTGCGATAGAGGCTCTCTTAGAGCTTCTAAGGTCTCATCAGTGTGAGGAAACTGCTGCTAGACTACTGGAAGTATTGCTAAACAATGTCAAGATTAGAGAAACAAAAGCTACCAGATCAGCCATTGTGCCGTTATCGCAGTACCTCTTGGACCCACAAACCCAAGGACAGCAGGCAAGGTTACTGGCAATTTTGGCTCTTGGTGATCTATTTCAGAATGAGAGTCTTGCTCGAACAAGTGATGCAGTTTCAGCGTGTCGTGCTTTGGTGAATGTGCTTGAAGATCAGCCAACAGAGGAAATGAAAGTTGTTGCTATATGTGCTCTGCAGAACCTTGTGATGCATAGTCGATCAAATAAAAGAGCAGTTGCTGAGGCTGGTGGTGTACAGGTTGTATTGGATCTGATAGGTTCTAGTGATCCAGAAACATCAGTTCAGGCTGCAATGTTCGTTAAACTTCTCTTCTCTAATAACACAATTCAAGAATATGCTTCAAGTGAAACGGTCAGAGCAATAACTGGTGAGTTTTTATCTGCTGCTTGTGCAGTATTTACTGCTTGCTAAATGATCTTTTTACAATTCATTTTTATTCTGAACAGCTGAAGAAACACATTATCATTTTTTTACTTGTATAAGAAAAGGCATAATTGTTTCAATAGGGTTGGGAACTTTTGGCACAGATTTTGTTCTCGTATCATCTGTTAATTGAGCAATCATGGTAATTTGTGTTTAGATTACTTTTAAAAGGCAAGGAGATAACTTGATTTTCAACTAAATTTACAATAGCAGAGATTTACAATGTTGCAGTGAGTATATTATGTTATTCTCTTGCGGCTGACATAGTATAAATTGAACTTAAAATCCCATGGCATATGAAAGAACGTGCTGTTTTTGATGTGGGGTAATGATGTTTTTCAGTTCAAGACCTCAAACTGTTTAGCCTTGCATACAGCCACAGTCTGATATCTGTGTCTGTATTTGCGCATGCCCTGGTGCACTTGTTAAATTGATTATTGATTTTTCACGGTGATGCAGCTGCTATTGAAAAGGATTTATGGGCTACTGGAAGTGTGAATGATGAGTATCTGAGAGCCTTAAATGCTCTTTTTAGCAACTTCCCACGACTGAGAGCCAGTGAGCCAGCAACACTTAGCATTCCCCATCTGGTTACATCATTGAAAACAGGTTCTGAGGCCACTCAAGAAGCTGCCTTGGACACACTTTTTCTTCTCAGGCAAGCTTGGTCAGCATGTCCGGCAGAAGTCTCAAGAGCTCAGTCAATAGCAGCTGCAGATGCTATTCCTTTGCTACAGTATTTAATCCAGTCTGGTCCTCCTCGGTTTCAAGAGAAGGCTGAATTTCTACTGCAGTGTTTGCCTGGGACATTAGTTGTGATTATAAAACGCGGTAACTACATGAAGCAGTCAGTTGGTAATCCAAGTGTTTACTGTAAGCTTACACTTGGCAACACTCCTCCAAGGCAAACCACGGTATAATGTTTTATTTAAGACTTGCTTATCTCCAAACTGCAATCTTTTTATTTTTCCTTTTTTGTTTTTGGTCCATCTTTGTCCCCAAAAAAATGTGGGGGGTTGGGGGTGGAGAGAAGAGGTTAAAATGGGCCTAGTTTCTCTCTACGTGCGCTAGGATGTGATGAAAATGGTGCACTAGACTAGATGTAGATCCAAGTAATGCACTACGATTTGTTGAGCTGGTTTGTTATTAGAGAGTTTATGCTATTTCTTGAGGAAATTATGGCAAAAAATTTTTTCTCAATTAAATGATGTGCACTCTTGGGTTTGCTGCCTCGAAAAAAATTCCAGTTGACCTCCATGTATATGCCATAGTTCTGCAGCTATTCCAGTTGAGCAGGTCAATTTAGGATTTGGTGAAAGCTAATCCCATGACTCTGTTTGCATGTGAAACTTCAGTTTTTTTTTTTTTAAATTTATATTTTATTTGTTTCAAAATTCTGAGCAGTTAAACTTTTTGTTTGATTTCACAAGTTGATAACATTTTATATGGAAGCAGCTATTTATTAGAGGGGATTATTTGGCCGATTATCAGAGCCGAAGTGGTTAGTTTGCAATCTGGTTTTTTATTTTGGTGTGCTTGCAGTTTAGATAATTTGAATTAATTTGTGATTTGCTTCTTTGTAGATGTGGAAGTATCCCCCCTAGCTGTATAACCACCCCAAGTCCTAGACTATTTTGCATTTAATATTCAACCACAAGTGTGATTTGTCCCCAAATTGTGATTGTACTATGATTTAAGCCTAGGACATTGTGTTTTTTGCTTGCTACAATGTTTAATACATTTAATCACCCCCCCTTGCTTATAGTGATCCCTTTTGTATTTACTCTGATCAGGTGGTCTCAACTGGCCCAAATCCGGAATGGGATGAGAGCTTTTCATGGTCCTTTGAGAGCCCTCCAAAAGGCCAGAAGCTTCATATTTCTTGCAAAAATAAGAGCAAAATGGGAAAGGTAAGTTGGGGAAAACATAGATTTCAAGATAAAAAAGGTGTATTCATTCATCTTCTTAGTTTTATTCTCTTTTCCTTCTCCACTGTCATTCGACATTTTATTGTAATATGATGACAGAGTTCATTTGGGAAAGTGACGATCCAAATTGATCGCGTCGTGATGCTCGGATCTGTTGCCGGCGAGTACACTCTACTACCAGAAAGTAAAAGCGGTCCCTCGAGGAATTTAGAGATAGAATTCCAGTGGTCTAACAAGTGATGCCCGTTAGAGTTTAACTTCAAGCTTCAGATTTGGTGGTCATAGGAAATGCCTGGAGAGAAATTTTTGTTGTGTTATTTATCATGTTAATGTACATAAGGCAACATTTGCTTTACTTTTGGCCTACACACCCATACCTGTATTCTTTTGTAAAATTTGCTTGTATTCTTTTATTTTTGGATTACATTTGGATCCAAAGTTCAACCAACTCTTTCGAGTTTCTTTTGTAATTCTTGCTTCTTGTCAATTTATACTTGAGAGGGCAATGCGATTGTTTATACTTTTGGGTTGTAGACATTTTTTTCCTCCACGAGGGATGAAATACCATCAGTGGAGTTTATCATATGCTGGAATCAATAATTAGTCACTTTTTTTTTTTTCCGGATGATGAAATTTTTAGTGTTTGAAGTTTGCTTCGATCCTCAGCTATCTTTGTGGTCTTTTAAGTTTATTTTTTTTAATTCTTACAATTTTTTTTTAAATTATCATGTTAATTCTTTAAGTTTTAAAATATAAATTAACTTTTAAATTAATCTAATGTATAAAATGTATTAACGATTTGATATGTATGTATAATTAAATGAAAACAAATTAGTTTTTAAATTGTTTTAATTTTTATCAATTTAATCAGTTATGTTGTGTGTTTTTCAATAAACCAATTATGTTGTGTTTTATTTTTTCATATAAATAATTGTACTCTCTTTGTTAAAAAATATAAGATATTTTTTGAAGGGTTGGATATTCAACAATACATAACATTTAAGGTGTAATCATTGTGTTTTTTTAAGTGCTCCTAATGAATAAATTACTTTATATTTATTTTAGAGTGAAACACTTTATTAAATAGAAGTAAATGTAAAAAGATAATGTTAGTTTGAAGACAAGTAACTATTTTATTAAAGATAAAATTTAATTAAAAATACCTTATATTTTTTAACGGAGTGAGTATTTCATTTTATTAATCTACACAGCTGTTATCTTTAAATAAAAAGAATCAAACTGATAATTGATGCAAATTTAAGGGATTAAATTAAAAAAATTAAATTTAAAAAACTAAATTGATAATTGAGATAAATTTAAGAGAATAAAAATTTTATTTTTTTTTAAATATTTGTTTAGTTGGAAAGAAAGGACATACAAAATGAAATATATACAATTTCATTTATAAATATCTTCCTCATAAATACACAATCTCGTTTGAAATAAGTCTGACATTAAATGCAATTATCTCTTCTACAAGGAATTCGAACTTTAATCCCTCATATTGTGAGGGTTATTTTTTTTTTTTTTAATTAGACCCAACTCTCACTAGTTAGCCCATTATTCTTTTTGTGATGAATATTTTTAATCCATTTTTCTTCTGTTTGGATGTTGATGAAATAAATAAGATTGTATTAATCTTGAAAATTTCTAAATTATTAGCAGACATTTTGACATCAATGGTCTTGATTTAGTTTCATAATTGAAAATAGCGAGAGAAAAAATAAATCATTACTCCATGGAAATACAAAACAACATCATCAAATTGGATTCTTCTAAAAATATATGCATTGTTTATAGAATATTATTATTATTATTGACAACACTTGTTAGGATTCCTATTGCCTGATATTTTTAAATTAAAATTGCTTAAACTGAATATGATATTAACTTTGTTAAAAGATAGACTGAACAAATTAAGCATTTTCTATATTTAGAGTGACATATTAAAACTATTTTACTATGAGGGCTAAAGTACAAATTTATCCTCAATCTACAAGACGGCACGCTAGCAACCATGGCAACAAAAATCACAGCCAACTATCTTTCTCCACATAAAATGAAAATCACAGGCAAACATAGCTAATTTATACTTCGATCTAAGAATGCTATCCAGATTAAACCCATCGTTGTTCACCCAGAAAATTATAAAAAAAAAAAAAAAATCAAACCCTAGAAACCCGTTGAACCTAGAAATCCAATGCAAATTAATTTCTGGAGAACACGTTGGATCCAAAGGAGAAATCAAGCACTAAACAATAAAGCCCAAAAGAGAAATCAAACACAAAATCATCCAAAAAAAAAAAAAAGAATTCAAAGAAGAAAAGCACAAAATCCAGGACCAAAAGATTAAGCCTTGTGAATGAAGGCAGAACTAGATGGAGATGGTGCGATCGTTGGAGTCGAAATAGGTGTGGGGCCTTCAATAGAGTAGCCAAGCTCTGATCAATCTTATTCCCAGTTGCGACCCAGACGACGAATCAAGGTTGAATTGCTAGTGTTCAATGAATCAGCCTAGTAAAAATCGCTCATATTCTGAGGAGAGGAATCGAGGTTGATGGAGCTGGATCGAGGTCCCAGGAGCACTTTGTCGACTCTTCGGACAAGATTCCGAAGGTACGGGACCTAGAAGAAGAATGAAGAAGACAAAGAAGTACTGAGAAGAACAAAGAAGAATGACAAAAAGCACACATCATACACCATTTGAAGCATAACTGGAAGAAGAATGGAGAGGAATGAGAGAGATGGGTCTTTTCTTATACTCATCAAGAACCCAAAAACCATGAATTGAAGGTGCCGAACCACACGTTCTTCAATCACCGTCTTTATTGGCGCAGCTGCTCTACCTTTCCTCATGATCTAAACCAATAGAAACCACGATCTAGTCTTCATATCAAATGAGCAGATAGACGATTTGGGTCTTGGGGTTTTCGGAGCTTAGATTTGGGAAGATGATGAAGGTGGAAAGGAAGAGATATGGAAGGGAGTACTGAGGGTGGCCTCCTTTGTCTATCCATTCACGTAGAGATAAATCTGGATGTTTAGATTTAATATTTTTAATTTATATTTTAAAAAAATATACTAATCAATATGAAAATTTAAATTTAATATAAATAATTTAAACTTAATATTAAAATTTTAAATTATTTTTTAATATATTATGAATAGTATAAATATATTTTAAACAGAGCAATAAATTTATTAAAAAAATTTAATATTAAATTTAAACTTCCAGACTAATAAGTTTATTTATTAATTTTTTTAATAATTTTTTATATATTTTTATTTTTAAAAAATAAATATTAAATATTAAATATTAAATTTAATTAATTTAAATTAAACCTCTACATAGAGAAGTCTTTTTTTTTTTTTTTTTTAATTTTAATGGAAGGAAGCCAACTCCGAGACAGAAGAGCTGGAGAGGCAGAGCAATGGGATAATTAGAGAGGCAGAGGCGCAGAGCCAATGGTATTACTACGTGGCTGTGAAGAAGAAAAACAATAAAATGATTTATGTCGGACATTGACTTCACGTAACAGTCAAGGAGGGGATTTAACAGCGAAAATTACTAAAGTAACAGTCAAACTGACGGTGGAACAAAATTGTTTCAAATTTAAAAACGTTATGATTACATTGCACCAAAAAAAAACTTGAAAATATCAGATGCACTTGTGTAAAAATTTTAAGAATAAATTTATACTTTAGCTATTACTATAAAAAAGAAACATATGGGAATGGATGGATTATATAATCATAATTTTTTTAAATGAGTTAAGTTTCAAAAACTCATTAAAACTAAAACATAAATGAATGAATTATATTATAGCATTAAGATACATTTTCACCCTATTTGATTTGAGGCGCACTTGAATAAAAAAAAACACAATATCATCATTCTAAGTATTAAAAATAGTAGAATATCATTCCTTCATTTAATAGTCTACTAGTTTGATTAAGAGCTATCAAAATGAGTTAACTTTTATAAATTGTGGATTGAATAGACTAACTCATTCAACTTACATTAGTTTAATATGTTGAATATCAAAACTTAACTCATCAAGCAAGTTATACGAGCCAACTCACTTAATTTGTATAGAATTTTGAAATAAATAGAAAATCAAAATTACATTTATTCAACATTTAGCATTCATCATCATCAACATTTTAATTTGTAGATTCCATGCTAATAATTTTTGAAAAAAGGAAAAAGAAAATCAGGTATAATTATCTAAAATTCTCTTTGTATTCTTCCAAAACATTTTTCATATGAATAGCGAACTATAATATAAATATAATAACGTAACTCAACTTCCGTACCCCCTGCTAATTTACTTTCACCCAACTTTTCTTTCAACATCCGTTATGTATCTTTTACTATACCAATATTTTATGAAGGGAAAATCTCACTCAAAGACTCTGGCATCATATAATTCACGAAAAATAAATTCTGAAATTTCTATGTGGTCCTTGAGGTCTGTTCTACAAATAAGATTCAAGAGAAAAAGATTATAATATCCTTTTTTTTTAAAAAAATTCACTTTCTCCTTTATTATCGGCGTTGGCCGTTGGATTGCTAGCCGTTAAGGCTGTCAGATTCAATGATCAATTAAATCCTCTAGGTGATTAAAGGGTCTTGGATTCAAGGGATGCTTGAACTTTAGTTATGTAGCACAAAATCTAATATATATTGTCAATTTAATTTTTTTTAGTTTTCAAACTATTTACTTATTTAAACAAGCATGCATTCATTACCTAAGAAATATTCATATGCATTTAACAAGTAGAGACATGCATTAATTATCAAATTCAAAAATTTAATAGACCTATTGTGGGAAGAAATTAGTGTAGGACTTGTTTGTTTCAATAAATGTACATTCATTTTTAATTTTATAACTTTAAATCTCTGCATTTTACTCACCTTTTTGTTATAGGTTTTTGTATTTTTTTTTGTGTTTTAAATTTTTAAATAAATAAAGTGTAGATACCTTAGAGAGACCTAAAATACTAAAAAATAAAAGTGTAAAAATTTAAAATACTGAAAAAAAGTATAGGAATTTATAGCAAAGTGCAGGAATTTAAAGTTATATTTTTCTTAATTTTATGTCTTTTTCTCCTAAATTAAAAAGGAAAAAAGGCATAAAAGTTAAAAAAAAAAAATATCTAGACACGACCAATATTCTTTGCCATGAATAACTTCTAAGTCACAAGCGCTGCGACATCAACTTCTTATGAGTCAATCTTTTATAGCTTAGCCATAAGATCAAACAAAAGCAGAAGGAATTAAGAGACAGAGAGAGAGCAAAGATGACTGAGAATACATCACTTGTCCCAAATTTGAAGAATAAATAAAGGGTCAAGAAATAGCAGCTGGTAACGAAGGTATAGAGTCTCAATCTCAATCATCGTTATCATACCAGCAAATGCTTGCTGGTGCAACTAATAATAATACATAAATAATTAAATCATATGTGTAGCCTCTTTGTCTTCTCTCGCAGCCAATTAAACATAGAGTTTATTATTTTATTACAATAACAATAATGCAAAGTCACGTTATTAGCATAAGATATTTTATTGGTGTGTTAT